TCAGGAGTTCAAGAGCAGCCTGACCAACATGGTGAAACCTCGTCCTCTACTTAAAAATACAAAAGTTAGCCGGACAATTGCTTGAACCCAGGAGGTTAAGGTTGTAGTCAGCGGAGATTGTGTGACTGCACTCCAGGCTGGGCAATGGAGCAAGACTCTCCTTTTGGAGGTTCCTCTGGCACATGTGCTCAGGCAGAGTAAAACACTTCCTTCTTTGTGCTAAACTACCCCTCTTGGCACAGAGCTGTATCACTATAATTATCACAGCAATATTATATCTTGAGCACAGGAACTATGTCTGGTTCATCTTTATATCCCTTGCACCTAGCAGAGGGTAGGAACAGAGCAGGGAGCCAATAAATGCTTGTTGACTTAGTCAAAGCACTCACAAGGAACGAAATTAAAACAAGCAGGAACATTACCCTTTTTATAAAAATCTGAATATAATCTAATCATCTAACCCCCCCCCCCCTTTTTTTTTTGTAGAGACAGGTGTCTCACTATGTTTCTTAGGCTGGTCTTCAACTCTTGGCCTCAAGTGATCCTTCTGCCTTGGCCTCCCAAAGTGTTGGGATTACAGGCATGAGTCACCACACTTGGCCCATATTAAGATCTTAATTAGGAAATAATTTTTAAGGCCAGGTGTGGTGGCTCACGCCTGTAATCCCAGCACTTTGGGAGGTGCCAAGGCAGGTGGATCACCTGAGGTCAGGAGTCTGAGACCAGCCTGGCCAACATGGTGAAACCCTGTCTCTACTAATAAAAATACAAAAAATTAGCTGGGTATAGTGGTGGGAGCCTATAATCCCAGCTACTCAGGAGGCTGAGGCAGAACTGCTTGAACCCAGGAGGCAGAGGCTGCAGAGAGCCGAGATCACGCCATTGCACTCCAGCCTGGGCAACAAGTGCGAGACACCCTCTCAAAAAAAAAATTAATAAAAAGAATTTTTAAGCTGTAGGTCTCCTGTGGAGAAATACACCTTGAAAGCACTCCAAAGACAGTAATAAGCCATTTCCTTAATTAACTATCATAACTTAGTTCACATGTTCATTCCAAGGCCTTGAAATAATCCTGTTTCTTCATATGTATCTGATATGGCTTGGGTGTGTCCTCATTCAAAACTCATTTTGAATTATAACTCTCACAATTCCCATGTGTCACGGGAGGAACCTGGTGGCAGGTGATTGAATTATGGGGGCGGGTCTTTCCTGGGCTGTTCTCATGATAGTGAATACATCTCACAAAACCTGATGGTTTTAAAAATGGCAGTTTCCCTGCACAAACTCTCTCTTTGCCTGCCACCATACATGTAAGATGTGACTTGCTCTTTGCCTTTTGCCATGACTGTGAGGCCTCCCCAGCCATGTGAAACTGTAAGTCCATTAAACCTTTTTTACTTCTGTCTTAGGTATGTCTTTATTAGCAGCATGAAAATGGATTAATACAGCAATTTGGTACCAGAAGTGGAGTGCTGCTGAAAAGATACGCGAATATGTGGAAGTGACTTTGGAACTGGGAAATAGGCAGAGGTTGGAACAATTTGGAGGGTCAGAAGGAGAGGAAAATGTGGGACAGTTTTGAATTTCCTAGAAACTTGCTGAATGGCTTTGACCAAAATGCTGATAATAATATGGACAATGAAATCCAGGATGCAGTGCTCTTAGATGGAGATAAGAAACTCATTGCAAACTGGAGCAAAGGTGACTCTTGTTATGTTTTAGCAAATCTACTGGTGGCATTTTGCCCCTGCCCTAGAGACTGGTGGAACTTTGAACTTCAGAAAGATGATTTAAGGTATCTGGTGGAAGAAATTTCTAAGCAGCAAAGCATTCAAGAGGTGACTTGGGTGTTGTTAAAGGCATTCAGTTTTTTTTTTGAGATGGAGTCTTGCTCTGTTGCTACCTGGAAAAGAATAGCATGATCTCGGCTCACTGCAACCTCCACCTCCCGGGTTCAAGCATTTCTTCTGCCTCAGCCTCCTGAGTAGCTGGGATTACATGAGTGCACCACCACGCCAAGCTAATTTTTGTATTTTTAAGTAGAGACAGGGTTTTACCATGTTGGCTAGGATGGTCTTGATCTCCTGATCTGCCCACCTTGGCCTTCCAGAGTGCTGGGATTACAGGCGTGAGCCACTGTGCCCAGCTGGCATTCAGTTTTATAAGGGAAGCAAAGCATAAAAGTTCAGAAAATTTGCAGACTGACAATGTGATAAAAAAGAAAATCCTGGCCAGGTGCGGTGGCTCATGCCTGTAATTCCAGCACTTTGGGAGACCAAGGCAGGTGGATTACCTGAGGTTGGGAGCTCAAGACCAGTCTGACCAACATGGAGAAACAACGTCTCTACTAAAAATAGAAAATTAGCTGGGCTTGGTGGCGCATGCCTGTAGTCCCAGCCACTTGGGAGGCTGAGGCATGAGAATTACTTGAACCTGGGAGGTGGAGGTTGTGGTGAGCTGAGTTTGCACCACTGCACTCCAGCTCAAAACAAAAAACAAACAAAAAAAGAAAATCCCATTTTCTGAGGAGAAATTCAAGCTGGCTGCAGAAATTTGCATAAGCAATGAGGAGCTGAATGTTAATCACCAAGACAATGGGGAAAGTCTTCAGGGCATGTGAGAGGTCTTCATCATACCTGCTCCCCCACTCCACCATTCACAGGCCTGGAAGCTTAAGAGGAAAAAGTAGTTTTGTGGGCTGGGCCCAGGGTCTCCATGCTGGTTGCAGCCTAGGGACTTGGTGCTGTACGTCCCAGCTACTCAGCCATGACTGAAGGGGGCCAATGTAGAGCCTGGGCCATACAGAGGGTGTACGCCTCAAGCCTTGGCAGCTTTCACATGGTGTGCACAGAAGTCAAAATTGAGGTTTGGAAACCTCTACCTAGACTTCAGAGGATGCATGAAAATGCCTGGATGTCCAGGTAGAAGTTTACTGCAGGGGCAGGGCTCTCATGGAGAACCTCGGCTAGGGCAGTATGGAAAAGAAATGTGTGGTTGGAGTCCCTACGAAGAGTCCCTACTGGGGCACCGCCTAGTGGAGCTGAGAGAAGAGGGCCACTGTCCTCCAGACCCCAGAATGGTAGATCCACTGACAGCTTGCAACATGTGCCTTGAAAAATCACAGACACTCAACACCATCCTGTGAAAGCAGCTGGGAGGGAGGCTGGGAGGTAAAGTCACAGGGGTGGAGCTGCCCAAGACCATGGGAACCCACCTCTTGCATCAGCATGACCTGGATGTGAAACATGGAGTCAAAAGAGGTCATTTTGGAGCGTTAAGATTTGACTGCCCCACTCAATTTCCAACTTGCAAGCGGCCTGTAGCCCCTTTGTTTTGGCCAATTTTTCTCATTTGAAACGGCTGTATTTACCCAGTGCCCATGCTCCTATTGTAGCTCGGAAGTAACTTACGTGCTTTTGATTTTACAGGCTCACAGATGGAAGTGACTTGCCTTATCTCAGATGAAATGTTGAACTGTGGAGTTTTGAGTTAAAGCTGAAATAAGACTTTGGGGGACTGTTAGGAAGGCATGATTGGTTTTGAAATGTGAGGATATGAAATTTGGCAGGGGCCAGGGGAAGAATGATACAGTTTGGCTGTGTCTCTACCCAAATCTCACTGTGAATTGTAACTCCCACAATTCCCACATGTTGTGGAAGAAACCCGGTGGGAGGTGATTGAATTATGTGGTCAGGTCTTTCCTGGGCTCTTCTCGTGATAGTGAATATGTCCCACGAGATCTGATTCTTTTAAAAATGGGAGTTTCCACCAGGCATGGTGGCTCACGCTTGTAATCCCAGCATTTTGGGAAGCCGAGGCAGGCAGATCACGAGGTCAAGCGATCGAGACCATCCTGGCCAACATGGTGAAGCCGTCTCCACAAAAATACAAAAATTAGCTGGGTGTGCTGGCATGCGCCTGTAGTCCCAGCTATGTGGAAGGCTGAGGCAGGAGAATCACTTGAACCCAGGAGGCAGAGGTTTCAGTGAGCCAAGATCCTACCACTGCACTCCAGCCTGGTGACAGTGCAAGACGCTGTCTCAAAAACAAACATACAAACAAAAAACAGGAGTTTCCCTGCACAAGCTCTCTCTTTGCCTGCCACCATCCACATAAGATGTGACTTGCTCCTCCTTGCCTTTTGCCATGATTGTGAGGCCTCCCCAGCCATGTGGAACTGTAAATCCATTAAACCTCTTTTTCTTCCCAGTCTCGGTCGGGTATTTCTTTATCAGCAGTGTGAAAATGGACTAATACAGTATCTAAGACTTAAAAAAAAATTAAGGTGAAATTTACATAACACAAAATCAACCATTTTAAAATGTACAATACAGTGGCATTTAGTAAATTCACAATGTTATGCAACTACCCCACCTATATCAAGTTCCAAAATAGTTTCATCACTCCCTGCAAAAAAACTCTGTATCCATTAAGCAGTTATTTTTCATTTTCCCCCTAGACCCTGGAAACCACAGGAACATTAACTTTTAAGTTATTCTAAGGAATTTTAAAGTCATAAAGTAGATATTAAAACAGACAGATTTTAGATGGCTGTACAAGTGCTTCCAGTCATACAGAAAAGAGTTTTTTTTCAATAATCTCAATTCCAGTTTTTATTAGCCATTTTATGTACATTGATACCAAGTACTGAAAACTGATAAAAACATGTCCAGAATTCTTTTTTTCCTTTTCTGAGAAAGGGTCTTGCCCTCTCACCCAGGATGGAGTGTAGTGGTGCAATCACAGCTCACTGCAGCCTCAATCTCCCAGCCTCAAGTGATCCCCCCATGTCAGTCTCCTGAATAGCTGGGACTACAGGCACATGCCATCACACCCAACGAATTTTTTAATTTTTTGTAGAGATGAGGGCTCACTATGTTGCCCAGGTTAGTCTTGAACTCCTGGACTGAAGTGATCCTCCTGCCTCGGCCTTCCAAAGTGTTAGGATTACAGGCATGAGCCACAGGACCCAGCCCATGGTTTCTTATACAGTCAACGTACAAATGCTCATTTATATTTTGCACAACAATGAAGATAAAAATAACAATTATAGCAACATACAAATATGTACAAGGATTCAAGACAGACTTTGTTTTTTGGCTTATAACAATGTGTAGATACTACACAAAGAATGAGGATGTAATTTTCATTTACAAGCAAAATGTGACCAAAATCCCTTTTCTTCTTAAAATTGAAAAATGAAATTCTTGAGAATACTAATTAGTGACAGCCAAATCTGACTATTTTAAATTAGCCATGGTTAAACATAGGTGAGTTAAACATTGTGCCTTTCCAAAATTAACGTTTGCAGTTAGAAACATAAACATTTGATAAAACTTCTCAAAATTAATTATAAGTGGCTTTTTCACGTTCTCTGGATTCCAGACACATACTAGAAAAAGTAAATGGAAAAGAGGTGATATTCTGGAAAGCATCCCTAGTACTGAAAAGCATCCCTAGCACTGAAAAAAGCATCCCTAATACTGAAAAGCATCCCTAGTACGGAAAAACATCTTCAGGAGTACCCAGTGGTACACTAGCAGGAAACTCATGATATACTAAAAATACTGAGAACAAAGCGGGGGAAGTAATAAGCAGCTATTTTACTGATGTATTAAATATACTGGAATTATGAGGCATAAGATGATATTTATGTGGTTTTTAAAAGGTTTAAAATATTCTTAGGGACTCAATTAGATATTGAGAATGACTGATACTATGATCTCAAAAATAATATAACACACATAATCATGGTGTTACCTTACTAACAGGAATTTAGTTTTTAATAACTAACTGAATTTTATTCTACTGGCTTGAGAAGCAGCTGCCTATTTTGAGAACTACATGAGTTAGTATGATCATATATAATTAAGTTAATGTCACAGAAACCAAAATGATAATAGTTTACAAAAGAAGAAAGTGCCCATTTATTGGGTTGTGACATCAGGCTGAGATGGCTTAGGGCTGGAAAGCAAGGATGAGTGTAGCATTGGGGCTCAGGTACAAATCTGTTTATAAAGCTCAAGGAGAGAAAAGGCACGAGAAGGAGACAACCCTAAATGGTGGTGGCACCTGGATGTGGAATTACCACAGGGGGCCAGAGACAGGCTGGTACATAACCCTCTGGCCAGGTACTATGGGAACCAACCCCTTCCTTCAATATTAAATTGAGAATACATATCTCAAAGCATGCTTACCAAAAGTTGATTATTTATCCTCATATTACAAAACACAGGAGGAGGAGACATTTATTTTTAAAAGAGAGCTAAAAAGTTATGGGGTTTCTCCTAAATTCAACTTGAAAACTAACTCAAGGAGCAAACATTAAAAAAAAAAAAATCCCTATTAATATATACATATTTTTGAGATGGAGTTTTACTCTTGTTGCCCAGGCTGAAGTGCAGTGGCGCAACCTAGGCTCACCACAACCTCCGCTTCCTGGGTTCAAGCAATTCTGCCTCAGCCTCCCAAGTAGCTGGGATTACAGGCATGTGCCACTACACCTGGCTAATTTTGTATTTTTAGTAGAGATGGGGTTTCTCCATGTTGGGTCAGGCTAGTCTCAAACTCCTGACCTCGGGTGATCTGCCCGCCTTGGCCTCCCAAAGTCCTGGGATTACAGGCGTAAGCCACTGCATCTAGCCGGACTATTAGTATTTTTAAAAGGCACTTAAAATATTCCTTTCCAGTCCAACTCAAAATACATCTCTGTCAACTACATTTTGGATAAATATTTTAAAAAGCACATTTTTGTGCAATTTTTTTCTTATAATCCAGCAATATTTACCATCCATAGGGCTAAAAGGTTTGAAGGACAGAGCTCCAACTTTCTGCAGAACAATCTGAAAGTGCTTTTATCATAGAAACAAGAACATTAATGATTTGCTCTTTCACTGACAACATCCTGTAGTCGTTTCAGTAAAACATCATCATTTTCTTGACAGACGCGTTTGGCAGGGGATTCTGCATCACTATCGATGGCTATTACTCGCTTCTTGGTTCTCTGCTCACCTTGCCTTATCATGTTGTTGATCTCTTTCAAACTCTGTGCAGAAACAGAGAACGTGTGTGAGTAAAAGAGGGAGAAGGGAAATGGCAGCAAACAACCAAGCGAATTGTTTTTTCCTGTGTTCTATCCTCTGTCCAAATCTTCACACTGGGATAAGGATTCTTTTTAAAACTTAGAACAACCTCATAAGGGATGGCCTGAACTAATCTTTTCAGATGGTTTAAAAATTAGATTTAAGGCCAGGTGTGGTGGCCTGTAATACCAGCACTTTGGGAGGCCAAGATGGTTCAATCACTTGAGCCCAGGAGTTTGAGATCAGCCTGGGCAACATGGCAAACCTGGTCTCTACAAAAAATACAAAAATTAGGCAGGTATGGTGGCTTGTGCCTGTAGTCTCAGCTACTCGGGAGGCTAAGGAGCATCACCTGAGCCTGGGGAGGTTGTGGCTGCAGTAAGCAGTGATCATGCCACTGTACTCCAGCCTGGGAAACAGAGTGAGACCCTGTCTCAAAAACAAAACCAAAACAACTGAATTTGCTGTATAATAGTAGTTCTCGATGTGTAGTACTCAGACCAGAAGCACAAGAAGCATCTATAATTTTTTTATTTTTTGAAACAGGTTCTCTCTCTGTTGCCCAGGCTGGAGTGCAGGGCATGATCTTGGCCCACTGCAAGCTCCGCCTCCTGGGCTCAAGCCATTCTCCTGCCTCAGCCTCCCTAGCTGGGACTACAGGCACATGCCACCATGCCTGGCTATTTTTTTGTATTTTTAGTAGAGACAGGATTTTGTTATGTTGGCCAGGCTGGTCTTGAACTCCCGGCCTCAAGTGATCCCCCAACATTGGCCTCCCAAAGTGCTGGGATTACAGGGGTGAGCCACCGTGCCTGGCCTTAACTGTTTTTTTTTTGTTTTTGAGACGAAGTCTTGTTCTTGTCGCCCAGGCTGGAGTGCAATGGCACGATCTCGGCTCACTGCAACCTGTGCCTACTGGGTTCAAGCGATTCTCCTGCCTCAGCCTCCTGAGTAGCTGGGATTATAGGTGCTCACCACCATGCCTGGCTAATTTTTGTATTTTTAGTAGAGATGGGGATTCGCCATGTTGGCCAGGCTGGTCTTGAACTCCTGATCTCGTAATCTGCCTGCCTTGGCCTCCCAAAGTGCTGGGATTACAGGCGTGAGCCACTGCGACCAGCCCTAATCTGTTTTAACCAGCCCTCCCAATGATTTTAAAGTTCCCTACAGTTTGAGATCCTCTTCCTTAGAGTAATGCTTTTCAATTTTTTTTTTTTTTTTTGAGACAGTCTCGTTCTGTCGCCCAGGCTGGAGTGAAAAAGGGGTGATCTCGGCTCACTGCAACCTCCGCCTCCCGGGCTCAAGCGATTCTCCTGCCTCAGCCTCCTGAGCAGCGTAGCTGAGATTACAGGTGCGGACCATCGTGCCTGGCTAAGTTTTTGTATTTTTAGTAGAGATGGGGTTTTGCCATGTTGCCCAGGCTGGTCTTGAACTCCTGAGATCAGGCAATCCGCCTGCCTTGGCCTCCCAAAGTGCTAGGATTATAGGCTTGAGCCACTGTGTCCAGTTAGGTATATTATCTTAGCCAACTTTGTCAAGTATAGTGAGAACTCTGTAGGCATCTGTATAACTTAATAGGAAAGTAATAAGAAGGAGCCAATGTATTTGGACTGAATTACAATATGCCCCACTACAATTTCTTCCAGTTTATACTGATTCTGACTTCTGGAGACATACTGAACAGATCTGCTTGACAGTCCATGAAGTATCTGAAAACAGCAGTCATGTCCATATCACATCTTCACCACTCAACAAGGATAAGGATGGAGATGATCACAGAGTTGTCTATGTACATAAGAGGAGACTTGTGTTTTCAGATGTCTTCCTATCCTGGGTGCCATCTACCAAATGCACTTTCACTTCCAATGCCTTTCTTTCAACTTGACATCCCCCAGGTCTGACCACTTGCAGATGTTGCTTTACTGGTCCCTTCTCAAGATCTTGCTTGAACAGGAAAACATGCTGGACTTTCAAAATGAACTCCACAAATACCATGTCAATAATAATGGATTAAACTACCTCAAACTGAATATACTGCTCTTGATGAGAGGAGACATGCCATAGTTAACATTTCATATTTTATTAGTATAGTAGAAACTTGGCCAAAAACAAAAAAAGAGGCAAGATTAACAGTTACTGACTGTTAATCTGAAATCCAACTTTTAGCCTATTCACCTTACCTTAGAAGGGCTGCCACTGAACTTGTACAGCAGAGCGCTTCTTGGTGTAAGGCCTGACCCATTCTTGTGTGGGGAAATATAAATGGAGTGCTGTTGGGAAATGCGGCGTGGTGAGCCTGGTTGTTGTTTAATATGTGGAAAAGGAGAGAGTGGTGGAGCATCCATCTAAAATAACCCAAAAGTCAGATTTTTTAGATAAAAGTTTTTCTTTGTTTTTGAATCCTATATTTTTATTCTTATGATATCTCCTAGTTAGGAATCAGTTATACTATAAAAGCTCATTTATGGTTGAGAAAAGCAAAAAAAAGATCTGTTACTTCCTTTTTTTTTTTTTTTACAACAACAACAGATAAAGTAGAATTTATTTTCTTGGATCTTTTTTTTTTTGAGATGAAGTATCTCTCGCTCTTGTTGCCCAGGCTAGAGTGTGATGGTGCAATCCAGGCTCACTGCAACCTCTGCCTCCCAGGTTCAAGCGATTCTCCTGCCTCAACCTCCCAAGTAGCTGAGATTACAGGCATGTGCCACCACGCCCAGCTAATTTTGTATTTTTAATAGAGATGACCATCTTGGCCAGGCTGGTCTCCAACACCTGACCTCAGGTGATCCACCCACCTTGGCCTCCCAAAGTGCTGGGATTACAGCTGTGAGCCACTATGCCCTGCCTATTTTCCTGGATCTTTCAGGAAGTCCTATAACTAGTATTAAGAATTCTGGCTGGGCGTGGTGGCTCACACCTGTAATCCCAGCACTTTGGGAGGCCGAGGTGGGTGGATCACCTGAGGTCAGGAGTTTGAGACCAGCCTGGCCAGCATGGTGACACTCTGTCTCCACTAAAAACGCAAAAATTAGCTGGGCGTGGTGGCACATGCCTGTAATCCGAGCTATTCGGGAGGCTGAGGCACTAGAATTGCTTGAACCCAGGAGGCAGAGGTGTTGCAGTGAGCCCAGATTGTGCCACTGCACTCCATCCTGGGTGACAGAGCAAGAATCTGCCTCCAAAAAAAAAAAAAAAAAAAAGAATTCTGGGGCCGGGTGCAGTGGCTCACTCCTATAATTCAGCACTTTGGGAGGCCAAGGTGCTCTGATCACTTGAGGCCAGGAATTGGAGACTAGTCTGGCCAACATGGCAAAACCCCACTTCAGCCTCCTGAGTAGCTCCTAAAAATATAAAAATTAGCCAGGTATGGTGGCATGTGCCTGTAGTCCCAGCCACTTGGGAGGCTGAGCATGACAACTGTTTGAACCCAGGAGGCAGAGGTTGCAGTGAGCCGAGTTTATGTCACTGCACTCCTCCCTAGGTGACAGAGTGAGACTCTGTCTCAAAAGAAAAAAAAAAAAATTCTGGACAAGACACCAAGAGTTAAGCCATGAGCACGAGAACCTCATATTCATGCTTAAAAAGTCAGGACAGGCTGGGCAGGGTGGCTCATGCTTATAATCCCAGCACTTTGGGAGGCCGAGGTGGGTGGATCATGAGGTCAGGAGTTCAAGACCAGCCTGGCCAAGATGGTGAAACCCTGTCTCTACTAAAAATACGAAAATCAGCTGGGCATGGTGACAGGCTCCTGTAATGCCAGCCACTCAGGAGGCTGAGGCACAGAATTGCCTGAAGCCGGGAGGTGGAGGTTGCAATGAGCCGAGACTGTGGCCACTGCACTCCAGCCTGGGCAACAGAGCGAGACTCCTTCTCCAAAAAAAAAAAAAAAAAAGTAGGGACAAAGAATAACCAATCTTCTAACACTTGCTATAACAATCTCTCTCTACACACACACAAAATCTCTCTCTACCCCACAACCAAAGCAGTAGCAGAGAGAATAAAAGAGGCAGAGAATTCTATAAGCCAGCAGAATGATTCCGACATGGAAAAAAATCTGTTAATGAAATGGGAAACACTTCATATGGAAATGGAAAATATTTAGAAATAAGTTGGATGAGCAAGGATTTCATTTTCATTTTCTTTAATATCCTGTATAATGGAAGTAAATTAAGATGGTAGAGTATATAGACAGAGGGGAAGTGAAACTGGAGTAGGATGAACAGTTATGACCTCTGAGGATAGTCATAGACCATATTCCATGAAAAGAGGAAGAACAGAAATGTACAGATGCACACAGATACATAGAAACAGCTATTGGCTGGCTGGCTGCAGCTTCTGCTAGGGCCTTTTCTTTTCTTTTTTTCTGAGGCAGGGTCTTGCTCTGTTGCCCAGACTGGAGTGCAGTGATGCGACTGTGGTTCATTGCAGCCTTGACCTCCTGGGCCCAAGCGATCCTCCTACCTTAGCTTGCTGAGTAGTTGGGACCACTACTCAGGTGTATACCAGCCACTACATGGCTAATTTGTAGAGTTTTTTTTTTTTTTTTAAAGAGACAGGGCCTTCCTATTTTTCCAGGCTGGTCTCAAATTCCTGGGCTCAAGCAATCCTCCAGGCTTAGCTTCCCAAAGTGCTGGGATTACAGGCTTGGGAAGTGCCTGGCTGGTCTCTTTTTCTTAGAGCTAAAGTCTGGTCTTCTGGGAAGCAACCTCAGCTTACACACTGGTAACACTTTCTCAGGCCTGCCGCGACTGCCGAAACTGGGGTCTGCATAATTATTATTATTATTATTTTTTGAGACGGAGTCTCGCTCTGTCACTTGGGCTGGAGTGCAGTGGCACCATCTTAGCTCACCGCAAGCTCCACCTCCCCGGTTCACGCCATTCTCCTGCCTTAGCCTCCCTAGAAGCTGGGACTACAGGCGCCCACCACTATGCCCGGCTAATGTTTTTTTTTGTCTTTTCAGTAGAGACAGGGTTTCACTGTGTTAGCCAGGATGGTCTCAATCTCCTGACCTCGTGATCCGCCTGCCTCAGCCTCCCAAAGTGCTGGGATCACAAGCGTGAGCCACCACGCCTGGCCTGCATAAAAATTTCTTAGTGGTGCCTCTATTAATGATCCAGGCCTATCTACTTCCTTTTGCCTTTTTTTTTTGAGACAGAGTCTTGCTCTGTTGCCCAGGCTGGCGTGCAATGGTGCAATCTTGGCTCACTGCAACTCTGCCTCTCGGGTTCAAGTGATTCTCCTGTCTTAGCCTCTCAAGTAGCTGGGATTACGGGTGCCCACCACCATGCCCGGCTAATTTTTGTATTTTTAGTAGAGATGGGGTTTCACCATGTTGGCCAGGCTGGTCTTGAACTCCTGACCTCACGTGATCCACCTGCCTCGGCCTCCCAAAGCGCTGGGATTACAGGCATGAGCCACAGCGCCTGACCTCCTTTTGTCTTTTTTTTTTTTTTTGAGATGGAGTTTCCTTCTTGTCACCCAGGCTGGAGTGCAGTGGCACAATTTCTGCTCACTACAACCTCCGCTTCCTGGGTTCAAGTGATTCCCCTGCCTCAGCCTCCCGAGTAGCTGGGATTACAGGTGCCTGCCACCACGCCACCTAATTTTTGGTAGAGATGGGATTTCACCATGTTGGCCAGGCTGGTCTTGAACTCCTGACCTCTGGTGATCCACCCACCTTGGTCTCCCAAAGTGCTGGGATTACAGGCATGAGCCACCACACCTGGCCCCTTCTGTCTTTACCTTGAGAAAAACATTAATCTCACAATGTAACAACAGAAAAATTTACCAAATTTGCTGGGCGCAGTGGCTCATGCCTGTAATCCCAGCACTCTGGGAGGCTGAGGTGGGTGGATCACAAGGTCAGGAGTTCAAGACCAGCCTGGCCAACATGGTGAAACCCTGTCTCTACTAAAGATACAAAAAATTAGCCAGGTGTAGTGACATGCTCCTGTAATACCAGCTACTGGGAAGGCTGAGGCAGGAGAATCACTTGAACCTGGGAGGCGGAGGTTGCAGTTGAGCTGAGATCGTGCCATTGCACTCCAGCCTGGGTGATAGGGTGAGACTCTGTCTCAAAATAAATAAATAAATAAATACAAACAAATTAATTGTTTTAATATTCATGTTCCCATCAAGTTCTTACCCATATATACACGGAATTTCTAGCAACATAATCATGGTATAGATAAAATTCCTGCCAGGCGTGGTGTTTCACACCTGTAGTCCCATCACTTTGGGAGTCTGAGGTGGGTAGATTGCTTAAGTCCAGGAGTTCCAGACCAGCCTGGCCAACATGGTGAAACCCCGTATCTACTAAAAATACAAAAAAACTAGCCAGGCGTGGTGGTGGCATGCAGCTGTCATACCAGCTACTTGGGAGGCTGGGGTGGGAGCATCGCTTGAGCCCTGGAAGCAAAGGTTGCAGTGAGCCAGGATCTCACCACTGCACTGTAGCCAGGGCAACAGATTCCATGATTTCCTCTGGTCTCTGTTGTACCACAGCCTTAAATACTGATTAAGTTACTAGTCATGCTCTGATTAATTGCTAGTAATTTTACTTTGACATACTTATCTAGCAAAATAAACTTATAGTAATTCAACTATGACAGCAAATAATAATAAAGTAGTAAAACATAAAACATACCACATGGTCCTGATTTGACAAGTCGTATTTCAGTGCAAATGACTTCACTCTTCCTACATATATTGTATTGTAAAATTTTATAAGATCACCTCTTTCCTCTTTCACTGGTCCACTGGAACAGTCAGGTGTTTTTGTAGCATCTTCCAAGTCTGTTAAAAGGAATGCAATGTTGTGATACAAAGCATACTTTTTATTTTATTTTTTTTGAGACAGGGTCTCACTTTGTCACCCAGGGTGGAGTGCAGTGGTGCAAATGTTGGCTCACTGCAACCCCGACCTCCTGGATTCAAGTGATCCTCCCACCTCAGCCTCCTGAGTAGCTGGGACTACAGGCACGCACCACCATGCCTGGCTATTTTTTATTTTTAGTAGAGATGGCGTTTTGCCATGTTGCCCAGGATGGTTTCCAACTCCTGGGCTCTAGTGATCTGCCAGCCTCAGCCTCTCAAAGTGCTGGGATTACAGGCGTGAGCCACCATGCCCAGCCACAAAGCATACTTTAATATACAAGTCGGCAATTTAAATTACCTTTCTACAATATTAAAAAAAACTCACAAATCTTTATGTAGAGAAATTAATATTTTCAGAGAAGGTTCAGAAATCCATCTGTATTACTTATAAGTCATATTGGAATCTAGAAAAATGCAAACATATCAATTGAAGGTGGTGCTCTCTTCTCTAGATGCCACTTCAGAATGTTTTCACAACCATAGCTTTTGAGCTGACTGTCATTAGTGGCTTTTAGAGGGGCAACAGCCCTGGGCTGGTGTTATCTAAGTTCTACAGTATGGAAGGCAGTGGCAAACCTCAGCTTCAGAAAACTAAAAGGCCTGCAGATATTCTTCTTGTGTCTTTGAGAAAGGTGGAAAGGTTCTAAAAGGTAAAGCATATCCTGAGAGGTTAGGGAAGAAGCAAAATGAATTACATTTATTTCTCTGCAAATACATGGCAGGTGACAGGTGTTCTAAGAGCCTTATTGTACCACGTACAACAGGAGCCCTGATCAGGAACCAGTGTTCAGGTTTTACTGAGCACCCCCAATAGTAAAATAACAGCTTGCCCCAACGTAGTTTCCTACTTAATGGTGCAACTCTGGGATAGCTTGTGAAACTAGGCAGAAATTTGTCCTACTATTTTTTGGGGAAGGAAAAGTATTATAGAGTATTACAAAATATCATTTACTTGTATACACAAGAACCATGTGTTTAGAAGAGCTAAGAAAACCACTACCAATTAAAAAGAATTTAGCATTTATATGAAAAAAGTTCTCATTCTCAATTCACTGGCCTACAAACATTGAGAACATGGGTAGAAGCAATGCCTTCACCTTAGGAAAACCAGAAAACACAAACATGGTTCAAAGACCAAACGGCCCCCGGGGATCTCAGTCTTAATTTGGATGTCTTTTTCACTTCTGCTATTTCTAAAGGATCTTGACTAGGGTGGGAGGGGAGGGGAGCTATGTGGTTAAATAAAGTTGAGGAAATGCTGTACATTATATTAGAAATTCAGAAATGCATGTTAGTATAAGGCTCTGAGAAGTACTGCAGTTTGGGAAAAAAAATAACTCTCATGTTCACTTTAATTCCATACTTCCCCAATTTTTTATGTATAGTCTCTTTCCCCAAAACACTTTTTTTTTTTTTTTGAGAGGGAGTCTTGCTCTGTCGCCCAGCCTGGAGTGCAGTGGTGCAATCTCGGCTCACTGCAGTCTCTCTGCCCGCTGGGATCCAGCGATTCTCCTGCCTCAGCCTCCTGGGTATTTGGGATTACAGGAGCATGCCACCACACCTGGCTAATTTTTGTATTTTCAGTAGAGATGGGGTTTCGTCATGCTGGACAGGCTGGTCTCAAACTCCTGACCTCAGGTGATCCACCCGCTTTGGCCTCCCAAAGTGCTGGGATTACAGGCGTAAACCACTGCGCCTGGACCCCCCAAAACACTTATACTACCATTCTGGGAAACACTGTTTCAAAGGATACTGGTATGTTAACAGCTCTTCTAGGTTATTCTCATTATATGGATCAATTAAAATTATTTCTTTTTGTTTTGTTTTTATGACAGGTTCTTGATCCTCTTGCCTCAGCCTCCTGAGTAGGTGGGACTACAGGTGAATGCTGCCACACCAGGCTAATTTTTTTTTTACTTTTTGTAGAGACAGGGTCTCCCTATGTTTTCTAGGCTGGTCTCTAACTCCTGGGCTCAAGTGATCCTCCCACTTCGGTCTCCCAAAGTGCTGGGATTATAGACGTGAGCGACCACGCCTGGCCTAAAATTATTTAATGTCCTCCTTGTATTAGAAATTTATTGAGACAGAGACTATAGTGTCTCCATATTTCTGTGTCATTCCAATTCCAGCTGTTAATATTTATGTAAGGTAAGGAGCTATACTTTACTTGAATGAACCAAACATTTAAAATTGTGGGAGGCTGGATGTGGTGAAACCCTGTCTCTATAAAAAAAAAAAATTAAGGGGCCGGGCGTGGTGGCTCACGCCTGTAATCCCAGCACTTTGGGAGGCCAAGGCGGGCGGATCACAAGGTCAGGAGATCGAGACCATCCTGGCTAACACAGTGAAACCCCGTCTCTACTAAAAATACAAAAAATTAGCCGGGCGTGGTGGCGGGTGCCTGTAGTCCCAGCTACTCAGGAGGCTGAGGCAGGAGAATGGCGTGAACCCCGGGGGTGGAGCTTGCAGTGAGCTGAGATCGCGCCACTGCACTCCAGCCTGGGCGACAGAGCGAGACTCCGTCTCAAAAAAAAAAAAAAAAATTAAAAATTTAAAAACTAGGTGTGGTGGCACGCACTTTTATCCCTAGCTACTCGGGAGGCTGAGATGAGAGGATCGCTTGAACCCAGGAAATCAAGGTTGCAGTGAGCTATGATTATCCTATTACATTCCAGCCTGGGCAACAGAGCAAGATCTCATCTCTAAAATTTAAAAAAACTAAAGAAAAAAAAGACATTAAAAAAAATACTCGTCCAGGTGTGGTGGCTCACACCTGTAATTCCAGCACTTTGGGAGGTCAAGGTGGGAGGATCACTTGAGCCCAAGAGTTCAAGACCAGTCTGGGAAACACAGTGAGATCCCATCTCGGTCTCCCAAAGTGCTGGGATTATAGGTGTGAGCCACCATGTCCGGCCAGAAATGGGTTTTTACTGATGAAAATAGTGAATGGTTTATTAAGTGGGACTAATGCTAAAAAAACCATACTCATTAATATAATAAATTTGATATTGCTTATAAATAATAGCTATTACTAAGGCCTTACTATGAACAAAGCTTGTATTAAATATTATATATATGCATATGTGTATACATAGTTGTGTATTGCATAATGATGGGTTATCTTCTCAAAAATGCATTGTTGAAATGATTTTGTCATGAGAATACTATAGAGTATACATACACAAACCTAGATTGTATAACCAACTACACACCTAGGCTGAATGGTATAGCATATTGCTCCTAAGTTGCAAAACTGTACAGCATGTTACTGTCCTGAATACCACAGGCAATTGTATCACAATGGCAAGTATTTGTGCATTTAAATATATCTAAACATAGAAAAGGTATAGTAAAAATACAGCATTATAATCTTATAGGACCACTGGTGTATGTGTGGGCCATCACTGACTGAAACAACATTATACGGCACATGACTCTGTGTGTGTGTGTGTATGCACACACATACATACATATACATATAGTTATATTTTTTATTTTTAGAGACAAGATCTTGCTCTATCACCCTGGCTGAAGTGCAGTGGTGCGATCATAGTTCACTACAATCTCAAATTCCTGGATTCAAGTGATCTTCCTGCCTCAGTCTCCCAAGTAGTTGGGACTACAGGTGTGAGCCACCATGCCCAGCTAATTTTTTATTTTCATTTTTTGCAGATGGGGGTCTTGCTGTGTTGCTCTTGCTGGTCTTTAATTCCTGGGTTCAAGGGATCCTCTTGCCTCAGCCTTCCATAGTGCTGGGAGATTACAGGCATGAGCCACAACACCCAGCCTAAATATAATTATTTTTAATCCGTAAAATAAGTTTCTAAGGAAGTAATGTAAAGTTTTCAGTTAACTACAATACACTTGAGTACAGTGTTACATTTGTGTTACTTAGGTTAAGCTATAACCTAGGTCTCACAAGTATTCTAATTAAGACTGCCACTCTGGAGTGGTCTGCTAACATGACATTGAAGAATTCATAGCCCATGAGGAGTGAGCTGGTGTTTTAATCAGGAAATTCTTTCTCCACTCCAACAGTTTCTGTTAGGCATATCTCAATCGATGACCAATGCTTTGCTCATTAACATACTCAAAGTCAGAATTTTTTTTTTTTTTTTTTTTTGAGAAAGAGTCTTGCTCTGTTGCCCAGGCTAGAGTGCAGTGGCACAATCTCAGCTCACTGCAACCTCAGCCTCCAGTGTTCAAGCAATTCTCCTGCCTCAGCCTCCTAAGTGGCAGGGATTACAAGTGCTCACCACCATGCCTGGCTAATTTTTGTATTTTTGGTAAAGATGGGGTTTCACCATGTCAGCAAGACTGGCCTTGAACACCTGACCTCAAGTGATCCACCCACCTTGGTCTCCCAAAGTGCTGGGATTACAGGTGTGAGCCACCATGTCCGGCCAGAAATGGGTTTTTACTGATGAAAATAGTGAATGCTTATTAAGTGTGACTAATGCTAAAAATGAGCTCATGTTCAGGAAATAAAAAGTATTTAAGATAAGCAGATTGGTTAAAATATTTGAGACACTACCCTCAATAGCCATGAAAGTGATGAAAGATCCAGTGAAGTCTCTAGGCTTTACTCTTAGGGATAATAACGTTAAGGCTAAAAGCTCTAAGAGGTCCTGTGTCCAGCCCTGAATTCTGATCCACGGTATTTGCTTGATGCTAGCCGTAAGGTTGACTGAATCCTGCATCTGAAATCTTGGCACCCATTCTTGAGCAAATCTTTTCCTTGGGTGGTGGTCAGACATAGAACTGGGATATATGAACTTACTGCATAGGATATATAAATTGTGTGTGTGCTTTTTAAACAGTAATTATTTTACAATCCATAATGAATTTGTTTATAGAACCAGAACTGTTCTTCCCAAGTCGGTGTTCTTTGGTGTGTCCAAATCTGGGTCATAGCATCTAGACATAGCTCTAAGAACTGGAAGGTGACTTATCTGAATATAGACTTGTCTGATTGCATATCCTCCTACATAACTTTCTCTCTCTCTCTTTTTTTTTTTTTTTTTTTTTTTTTGAGACAGGGTCTTGCTCTGGAGTACAGTGGCAAGATCATGGCTCACTGTAGCCTTGACATCCTGGGCTCAAGCCAACCTCCCAATTCAGCCTCCTGAGTAGCTTGGACTATAGATGCTCACCACCATGTGTGGCTATTTTTAAAAAATTTTTTGTAGCAATGGGCTCTCACTATGTTACCTACAATGGTCTTGAACTCCTCGGTTCAAGCCACCCTCCTGGCTTGGCCTCCCGAAGTGCTGGGATTATAGACATAAGTCACTGTGCTCTCACTCTCTTTATGAGTGCCAGAATTCCTGAGTTCATCATCACTGGATATTCTCCCTGCCCTGTGCCACCACCACTGTACAGGACCTGTAACAATGGTTGTTTGCTTATTTGCTAATAAATATAGTTAATAACTGTATATAAGACAGAGTGCAGTGACTCACACCTGTAATCCCAGCACTTTGGGAGGCCAAGGCAGATGGATCACTTGAACCCAGGAGTTCAACACTGGCCTTGGCAACATGGTGAAACCCCATCTCTACAAAAAATATAAAAATTAGCCAGGCCGTGGCTGAGCCAAGAATCACTTGGGCCTGGGAGGTCAAGGCTGCAGTGAGCTGTGACTGTCCCACTGTACTCCAGCCTGGGTGACAGAGCAAGACATGGTCTCAAACAAACAAACAAACAAACAAACAAAAGGTTAGATGCAGTGGCTGACGCATGAAATCCCAGCACTTTGGGAGGCCAAGGTGGGCGGATCACCTGAGATCCGGAGTTCAAGACCAGCCTGGCCAACATGGCAAAACCCCGTCTCTACTAAAAATACAAAAATTAGCTGGGCGTGGTGGCAGGTATCTGTAATCCCAGCTACTCGGGAGGCTGAGGCAGGAGAATCACTTGAACCTGGGAGGCGGAGGTTGCAGTGAGCCGAGATCGCACCATTGCACTCCAGCCTGGGCCACAAGAGTGAGACTGTATCTCAAAAAAAAAAAAAAAGAAAAGAAAAAAAAGAAAAAAAAGAAAGAAATTGTGTAGCAGAATTTGATCTGAAACCTATATATACAGGAAGTGGCGAACTCTCAGTCACCTCAAGTTTCTTTGGCAGACACTTATCAAAAAGAAAACAAAACAGAAAACGACATCATCTATTATCTTTTGCTTCTACTCTCTACTTCACTGCTCTTGTGGCTCAGATACTTGCTAGCAGTTAGTTTCACATAGAAAAAACACAAAACAGGCAAGGGATCCACAGCTTTCTAGCTAACCTGATGTCTGGTTTTGGAGGAACAGAAAAACCACCCCAGATAGGTAAGCAACATGTATAACAAATACAGAAAAAGGCTTTTTAATAGTTTGTCAGTGTTACTGTCTGCATTTATTGTTGTTGTTTTGTTTTTTTGAGATGGAGTCTCACTCTGTCACCCAGACTGGAGTGCAGTGGCAGGATCTTGGCTCACTGCAACCTCTGCCACCCAAGTTCAAGTGATTCTCCTGCCTCAGTCTCCTGAGTAGTTGAGATTACAGGTGCCTGCCACTGCACCCACTGCACCTGGCTAATTTTTGCAGTTTTAGTAGAGACAGGTTTCACCATCTTGGCCAGGCTGGTCTCGAACTCCTGATCTCATGATCCACCCACCTCGGCCTCCCAAAGTATTGGGATTACAGGTGTGAGCCACCGCGCCTGGCCAGGGTTACTGTCTTATATACTCCTCATTGCCTTGAAAACGCTCCAGAATAACACACTTATGTAAAAAGAATTGAGTTTGGCCTATTATCCTCAAAAAGTCAGATTCTAGGAAATTATTAAAAGATCTTTTTGGTGAATGAAATCTTAAAAGTTTATATCCCAGTGGACACCATAATGATTATGGATATTTTTATAATTTAAAAACTTGTTTTAATTCATCAGATTTTCTTTCAAGAATTTATCCTAAGGATGTGGCCTAAATATTTAAGCTACAAATGATACTCATCACAGAGCTGTGCATAACTAGAAGCAACCTGGCCAGGCGTGGTGGCTTACACCTGTCAGCCCAGAACTTTGGGAGGCCAAGGTAGGGAGATTGCTTGAGTCCAGGAGTTGGAGACCAACTTGGGCAACATGGAAAAATCCCACCTCTACAAAAAATTAGTTGGGTGTGACAGCAAGACTGAGATGAAAGGAACGCTGGAGGTCAGGGCTGCAGTGAGCCATGATTGTGCCACTGCATTTCTGCCTGGGTAACAGAGTGAGATCCTGTCTCAGAAAAGAAAAAAAGAAAAGAAAAGAAAAAAGAAAAGAGAAAGGAGGGCAGGGGAGGCGGAGGGGAGGAGAAGGGATGGGGATGGGGAGAAGAGAGGAAAGGAGAGTGGGGGATAGGAGAGGACAAGACAAGACAAGACAAGAAAAGAAAAGAGAAGAAAAAAGGAGAAATGACCTAAATGTCTCACACTGTGGCATTAAAGAAATCACAGTACCTAGACTTGGCACAGTGGCTCATGCCTGTAATCCTAGTACTTTGGGAGGCTAAGGTGGGCGGGTCACTTGAGCTCACGATTTCAAGACCAGCCTGAGCAAACATGGCAAAATCCTGTCTCTACAAAAAATATAAAAATTAGCCAGGGTGATGGCTCATGCCTGTAGTTCCAGCTATTCGGGAGGCTGAGGTGGAAGGATTACTTGAGTCTGGGAGGTCGATGCTGCAGTGAGTCATGATCATACCACTGCACTCCAGTGTAGGTGACAGAACAAAACCCTATCTCAAACAAAGCAAAACAAAACAAAAAAAATCACAGTATATACACATGTATATATTACATACACCTTAAATACATGGAAAGATGAGACAAGGGAAAGGAGGTAGACAGAAGAGGTGTATGAATACTAACCATTTGATTTTCTTTTCTTTGAAAAAAGATTACTAGTGCCTGAAGTCTTAGCATGATGGTGGCAAGAGGGTGCAGTCTTGCCTGTGGTAGCAGAATTACCTATAAATAACACTTATATGAACAGGACGTTTTCTTTTGTGTGTGTGTGCGCGACAGAGTCTCACTCTGCTGCCAGGCTGGAGTGCAGTGGCGTGATCTCGGCTCACTGCAACCTCCGACTCCCGGGTTCAAGTGATTCTCCTGCCTCAGGCTCCCGAGTAGCTGGGACTACAGACGCATACCACCACGACTAGTTAATTTTTGTATTTTTTAAAGTAGAGATGGAGTTTCACCATGTTGGCCAGGATGGCCTTGATCTCTTGACCTCGTGATCTGACCGCCTTGGCCTCCCAAAGTGCTGAGATTACAGGCGTGAACCACCATGCCCAGCCAGGACATTTTCTTAATAGACTCCTCAGGAAGATTACTGTCAGCTACCTTGTTTTCTCTGTCATTCAGATAAGAATTTTATTAAGTCTCTTTTATATGTTTCATTAACATGTATAAGTAGACTAGAAAATTTCTTCCAAAACACAATTAACGGGGGACAAATTAATGGTTTCAATAAATTATACCAGCACATTCTAATCTCAAACATAATTGTTTTCAAAACGTGTGTGTATTGTCTACCTCACCTCTTCATGATTCACATTTCCATGTTGTCTGACACCCACTGTATTATGTACAGTGTGATCCAATGTGTTTTACATATAGTATGTTAAATTGGATAACTTACCACAATCTATCATTTCAAAGTCATCATTTATATTTTTATTATATGCCACAAATTCTCTTGGAATACTTTTCAGCAGAACACTTCTATATACCTACACACCAGAGGGGAAAAAAAGGACTGCTCAGTCACAGAGGTACATGTTAAACAAAATCAAAGTGAGAAGAGCAAAATATCAAGCCAATGAAAAACTATTTGTCTGTATAAGTGATACTCAAGGGTAAAATGTTATTAGCTCTAGTAAGCATAGATTATAACACATACCATAAAAGAGGGGATACTGGAGAAGAGCTTACCATCTAAGACGGGTTTAGTTTATAAAATAGAAGAAATAGCAACTAAAGACTGATGATTGGGTTTTACTAAATAAAAGCAACTTCAAAGACCTGAATTTGGTCAGGTGCAGTGGCTCACACCTGTAATCCCAGCACTTTGGGAGGCCAAGGTGGGCAGATCACTTGAGGCCAGGCATTCAAGACCAGCCTGGCCAACATGGTGAAAGCCTGTCTCTACTAAAAATACAAAAATTAGCTGGGCATGGAAGCACACACTTGTAATTCCAGCTACTAGGGAGGCTGAGGCAGGAGAACTGTTTGAAGCCAGGGGGTGAAGGTTGCACTGAGCTGAGATTGCACCACTGCGCTCCAGCCTGGACAACAGAGCAAGACTCTGTCTCAAATACAAAACAAAAGAAAACAAACAAACAAAAAACAAAAGACCTGAATTAATTCCTCCTTTTTAATTCCTTACACAACAATCGATTGGTCTTTTTTTTTTCTTTTTAGAGACAGGGTCTCACTCCATGGCTCAGACTGGAGTGCAGTGGCACAATCATGGCTCACTGTAGCATTGACCTCCTGGGCTCAAGCAATCTGCCTGCCTTGGCTTCCTTAACTGGTGGGATTACAGGCGTGAGCCACTGTGCCTGGCCAAGAGTCGTTTGTTCTTAATGCAGCTTGTTTTTCTGCCCCCAGCCCATTCCCATCTCCTTTCAGATGACCACATGAAAATCTTTTCCCTTCCCTGCCCCTGAACTATCTCACCTCTGAGATAGCTGGAAAGGCACGATCCATTCCCCCTTGTACTATATTATAGGTTACTGGTATTAAGAGGATATTCAGGGAGCCATGGCTTGGCCCATTTTTGACTCACACTAACCTCACCTTAATGATCTTCAAGGACAATCTAAAGCTTTCTAGGCTCTGTTCCTGAGGGATTTTCCTGAAGAAGCCCAGAAAATCTTAGCTTATCACAGGATATAACAAATGCCTGTACTTGGTTCTTCAAATGTCTCTATATTGCTTGCTATAATGTATTTTAGGGCTTAAAGCTCTCTTAGAAGGGGATATAACTACTAATACTGAGGCCACATCTCTGTGTTGGTCTGCAATCTGAAGCCTCTCACTCTCTTTCTGGCTACAATTTCCAGGGCCAGAAGAGAGACCATTATGCTTCCTAAGAGCAGAACCTTAGGTTCTTGAATGATCAAACTCTTAAGGTAATTTACTTGTATTTCTTCATGTACAATAATAACAACAATATGGCATTAACATTCATTAAATGCTTATTGTGTGCGATCCACTCTGCTACTATGACCGAAAGGTTTCATGCAATTTTCACCACAGCGAGAACAATATAATCAGAAATGTTTAACATCTGTTCAAAGATGCAAACATTAGAGATTAGCAGATGGCAAAAGAAGCTGTAGTTAGGTTAATGAACCCTAAAATTTCACTGGGTTTAAATATCATTAAAAAAATAAAGTTATATAATTAAAGAATATTATTATTATACATATCTTTTTTTTTTTTTTTCTGAGACAGAGTCTCGCTCTGTCAGCCAGGCTGGAGTGCAGTGGAACAATCTTGGCTCACCGCAACCTCCGCCTCCCGGGCTCAAGCAATTCTCCTGCATCAGCCTCCCGAGTAGCTGGGATTACAGGCGTGTGCCACCATGCCTGGCTAATTTCTGTATTTTTAGTAGAGACAGGGTTTTACCATGTTGGCCAGACTGGTCTCGAATTCCTGACCTCAGGTAATCCACCTGACTCCGCCTCCCAAAGTGCTGGGATTACAGGCATGAGCCATTATACATATCTTTCATTAAATGAACAAATAGAATGGCAGAACTTATGAGAAGTATATGAAAGTATATGGATGAATCGGAAACAGTTAGATTTCCTGGCTTCTACTGAAATTGTCCTTTGATGAAATTATCTCTTGAATTTTAATGTTATCCATTAAAACAGAAAATCTGAAGTATATTAAAACTATAAAATAAGTTTACCTTTTATATAACTTGTCAGTGGAAAACAGTAAATCTATTTTTGGACAGTAGGAGAAATAATGTAACTCACGTGACTATTAGCTTGGGGCTGATTCCTGTAACTTTTCATAATTTCTTGAAAAGTTCTTTCTTCTTTTGTTACCTAAGGAAAATAAAAACTGCATTTATCAAATGCTTTTTGAAAGAAAAATGGCTCTGAACAAACTTCCAATTATAAGTTGGCACTGAGAGCAACCTTGCAGAAAACCATTAACCCCAGGCCAGTCCATGACTAAAACCCACTAACATTTATGATTTTTTTCTACCTTTACAGTTCAGGCTTTGTAGCCTGTGGGGAATCACTTCATAGTTTCATTAATCAAAAAGCACACTGAAACTGTTATGGTGGCAAACTCTACTGAAAATCCATTTCCTTTATATAAAAAGATATAAGAAAACTCCAGATCTGTTTAATGCCCTGCAGTCTCAGTTTTATTAATTTTTAAGTACTTACTTAAAAGTAAATTAACTACATACAAAGGATTAAAAATATCTTACAGTGATGATCCTCAATCCGACTGAGTGGCTATTATAGGATTAGGTTTTAACATTTCCAGGACAGACTGTAGGGTTTCACAATGTTTAGACAGAAGTCACAGTGGTGGCCAAAAGGAAGAAAAGATTCCTTCTGGGATCTCTGTGATCATAAACGTCACTTAAGTTACTCCTTTCCCTTGCTTCACTGTCATAGTCCTAACCCTGTTCTCTATAATGATGAGCTAGAAATGGCAAAGCCTGAACTCTAACAGTCTTCTGGAAAACACACGATTAGTTAGTAACATTTATCTTTTAAGTTTTTAATTCTTTTTTTTTTTTTTTTTTTTTTTGAGATATAGTCTCGCTCTGTCATCTAGGCTGGAGTGCAGTGGCATGATCTTGGCTTACTGCAACCTCCGCCTCCCGGGTTCAAGTGATTCTCCTGCCTCAGCTTCCTGAGTAGCTGGGACTACAGGTGTGTGCCACCACGCCCAGCTAATTTTGTATTTTTAGTAGAGACAGGGTTTCACCGTGTTAGCCAGGATGGTCTCGATCTCCTGACCTTAATGATCCTGCCTGCCTCAGCCTCCCAAAGTGCTGGGATTACAGGTGTGAGCCACGCTTGAGCCCTTCAGGTTGAGTTTTCTAACTGCAACTTCACCATTCTGCAAATCAGCAAGATTCACTTCAAACACATGACTCTTGAGGCTATCAGATGCAATTTGGTTCCTTGAGTCCTGGTAACTAGTGTCTTTCCAGTATTTCTTGTATTGAACTTATAGTCGGTGCTTTTTACATCAAACTAATCTTTCTTAAAAAATGAATCAACCATTTTCTTCTTGGATCCCTTTTAGTTGCCTTTTGTATGGTGCATGTTCATTAACATACCATAGTGCTGCAGAAACAATTATTAAGACCTATTATTTATTTATTTATTTATTTGGAATGGAGTTGTGCTCTGTCGCCCAGGCTGGAGTGCAGTGGCGCAATCTCAGCTCACCTGCAAGCTCCGTCTCCCAGGTTCACGCCGTTCTCACCTGTCTCACCAGGTAGCTGGGACTACAGGCGCCATCCACCACGCCGGCTAATTTTTGTATTTTTAGTAGAGACGGGCTTTCACCGTGTTAGCCAGGATGGTCTTGATCTCCTGACCTTGTGATCCATCCGCCTTGGGCTCCCAAAGTGCTGGGATTACAGGCGTGAGCCACCGCGCCCAGCCTAAGACCTATTTTTGTAAAGGGTGCAAAAGAAGGCATTCTGGGAGAAGTCACAAAGGAGTTTAAAAACATATGCTCTGTCTCAAAAAGCTGAAAAAATCAAATCTTAACTGTATACATCTGCTGGGACTGCCAGTGTAGCTACAGTGTAGTAAAGACAAATGATTGTATCAGATATATGAGAATTTTAAAAAACAAGCAAGATATGTTATTCTATGACTTAAAACACGTTGTAGCAACTAGAAAGTAAAATGCTCTTCTGAGGCAGCACAATAAATCACGCGAAAGCAATCGCAATATGGTACAGAAACTTTTTTTTTTTTTTTTTCTTGGGGCCAAGTCCTTGCTCTGTTACCCAGACTGAAGTGCAGTGTGTGATCTCGGTCACTGCAACCTTGGCCTCCTGGGCTCAAGAGATCCTCCCACCTCGATCTCCCAAGTAGCTGGGCCTATGGGTGCAAGCAAAAATGCCCAGCTAATTTTTACATTTTACAGAGACAAGGTTTCACCATGTTGCCCAAGCCCGATCTCGAAATCTTGGGCTCAAGTGATCTCCTTGCCTTGACCTCCCAAAGTGCTAGGATTATACGTGTGAGCCACCATGCCCAGCCTCTTCTCCCAATGTATGCATACCTTTGCCATGATATAAAAGGCACAAAGGAGGAGTTGATCCAAATGCCTGTCTTTCATTAGATCAGGGCAGTGAACTAAAGTGAATTCAAAACACGTCCATATCTTCCGTCGTAACTCATTTGAAACATCCAGTTTTAGACATAGATCCGTAGCGTACACTTGCCAAATGATAGACCTAAAATAGAAGGTAACACATTGATGCAAAACACCAAGTAAATCATTTCTCAAATTTTTATGTCTTACCATGAACACGGGCTTTCAGACCAAGATTAAAAACATAGGCTGTTGATATACTAAAATTAAGTAAAATTTCTGTTCTATAGCACTAGTTCACTGCTATGGCAGGAAGATATAGATGAAAGCAAAGCCACTTGAAATTTTTTTAAAGTGTCATCTATTACTCTATGCTACCAACTATGTAAAGAAAAACTGAAATATAAGTTTTACCTGCATCATGACAATTATGAATACATAATTTTTCCTTTTTTTTTTCTTCTTAGGTGGATTCTCGCTTTGTCACCCAGGCTGGAGTGCAGTGGCACCATCTTGCCTCACTGCAACCTCTGCCTTCTGTGTAAAGCAGTTACTGCCTTAGCCTCCCGAGTAACTGGGCATACAGTTGCAGGCCACCATGCCTAGCTAATTTTTGTATTTTTTCGTAGAGACGGGGTTTGATCATGTTGGCCAGGCTTGTCTTTAACTCTGACCTCAAGTAATCACTGCCTGCAGCCTTCCAAAGTAATGGGATTACAGGTGTGAGCATTATTGCGGCCCGAAACGCCTCAATTTTCAAGCTCAGAAGTCTCTGTCTATTCTCTTTGGGTGCAGGTAAAATTGCTAGGAGGCCTAACATGCCAAATAATAAACGTTTGACTCCAAAATAAGTCAGAAAGCAAAACCATTTAAAAATTGCTCCTATATTCTACACTTTTTATGAGCACAATGAGAACAAAACAGGAATGTTAAATAGAGATACAAAGCTTTTTTTTTTAAAACATGTGAAAATAAATTCAGTTCAGTTCCCTGGCCTAAGATCCTGCAAGACTTTGTGGCCCAGAATTAATGCTTGATGGTATTCCTAAACCAGACTATTTTATTCAAACTCTTTTTTTTTTTTTTTTTTTTTGAGACAGAGTCTCACTCTGGCAACCTAAGTTGGAGTGCAGTGGCACGATCTTGGCTCACTGCAACCTCCGCCTCCGGGCTCAAGTGATTCTCGTGTCTCAGCCTCCCGAGTAGCTAGGACTACAGGCAAGCATCACCATGCCTGGCTAATTTTTTTTTTTTTTTTTTTGTATTTGAGATGTGGTTTCACCACGTTGCCCAGAGTGGTCTCGAACTCCTGAGGTCAGGCGATCTGCCTGCCTCGGCCTCCCAAAGTGCTGGGATTACAGGGTGAGTTGCCCAGAGTGGTCTCGAACTCCTGAGGTCAGGCGATCTGCCTGCCTCGGCCTCCCAAAGTGCTGGGATTACAGGGTGAGTCACTGCACCCGGCCCAAACTATGTCTTTAAATTTCCAGAGAGGAAAAAAAAAGAAAGTTACCCCTTACAGAAAATTATCTTTGGCAGAAAAATACCTACAAACTGAGCTTAAAAACTAATTTAAGCTACTCAGTAATCTAATATAAAGAGAGACAAATAGTTGACTCCAAAGCCACCAGTGATTTATTTTACAGCAAACAAATTTTCTGTATCCTCTCCCCTTGTTTCTGGTCCAGCCATGCTGAGGAAACAGTAGGGTCAGAGCAGAGGGAAAGACGCTAGAACTTTATATTCATGAAAGGATAAGATAAGAGATATAGTCCTAGCTAGAAGAATTAAAAATAATATGTAATTAAGTAACACTTGGTAAAGTATCTTTTACAGAACGGATCCAATGCTTACAGGATACACATATGCTGGCAGGCTTTTGATTCTAACATTCACGGTAAATTCTATTTAGGCATAGAACACCAGCATCACACTGAGTTCAGCACAGATAATTGTTATAATTTACTCAGTGAATGGTTATTTTGAATTTATTATAGATTCAGACATTTCAGTTCCTTTTATATTTTCTAGCTTCTAATCTATACTGAGTAGGTTATAATTAAATGAAAGGAAAAGATGTTAGATTCTAAAACAACATTCAAAATGAAGAATTCACCAAAAAAAGTCTTACTTCTTTCAAACTTAGGTTAATTATCAGAGGCAATAATTTGCCATTTTGAAAATTAAAAATGGTAAGTAAATGGGGAAACCGCCATATTTTCAAGCTCTGTATTTTAAACAGTCCTTAGGCATAGGAGGGGGTGGAGGGACAGAGAAGAGAAGCCAGTAAAGGTGGTGAAAAGAGCAAGACTCTCCCTCAACCATCCTAATTGTCAACCAAAGCAGCCCTGCTTTCATATGTTTTGTTTATACTTCTGGAGACTATTTCATTCAAAGAAGGGGTTTCCCTAAAAGATGAAATTCCTTGGAGAATCAGTTGCTCCAAAATCCACAATGTAATGAAAATAAATGAGCTAAAACTGAAAGGAATAGAAGACAAAGAATGGTTGTAGAAGCTATAAATGAGTTGTTTTCCAGTGTCTGTCTCCTCTTCTGCAACAACAGAACCCTTGACATTTACACCCGGCTTCCTGTAATAAAGACTATATTTGCCCCTTTGAAAATTCTGCCTGGGCACGGTGGCTCACATCTGTAATCCCAGCACATTGGTAAGGTGAGGTGGATGGACTGGTTGAGTCCAGGAGTTTGAAACTATCCTAAGCAACATAGCGAAACCCCTTATCTACAAAAAATTAAAAAATTAGCTGGGTGTGGTAGCCTGTGCCTATAGTCCCAGCTACTCATGAGGCTGAGGTGAGAGGATCGCTTGAGCCCGGGAGGTTGAGGCAGCAGTGAGCCAAGATCTTGCCACTGCACCCCAGCATGGGTGACTGAGCGAGACCTTGTCTCCAAAAAATAAATAAATAAATAAATAAATTCTACAAGTGGCTACATGACTAAGTGGGAAATAAACAGCACTGGTGTATGTAACTTCTAGGACAGGTTCTGAAGGTGAGGAGGCATGCTCTTTTTCTTCCTGCTGGCTAGAATGCAGATATGATATCTGGAAGGGAAGCAGTCATCATGGACTGAGTTAGAAACCTTGTGTTGAGAACGGCCAAAAAATCCTTGAAGGGACCTGGGTTTTATTTGTTGAGATGGAGTCTTGCTCTGTCGCCCAGGCTAGAGTGCGGTGTCACAATCTCGGCTCACTGCAACCCCGTTGCCCAGGTTCATGCCATTCTCCTGCTTCAGCCTGCCGATTAGCTGGGACTACAGGTGCCTGCTACCACGCCCGGGGTAATTTTTTTGTATTTTTAGTAGAGATGGGGTTTCACCATGTTAGCCAGGATGATCTTGAACTCCTGACCTCGTGATCTGCCCATCCCGGCCTCCCAAAGTGCTAGGATTACAGGCGTCAGCCACCACGCCTGGCCAGGACCTGGGTTCTTAATGGTCATGGTAACCACAGCAGTCCCATACTACTTACACAGACTTTACGTGAAAGATAAATTCTCTTGTTCAAACTACTATTATTTTCAAACAGCTAAACTGAAATCTAAGAAATAAATAGATAATCACTATGCCCAAGGTCAGAAAACATGTTAGAGGTACTGTGAAAGAAATAGGATTTGATATAAAAACGTAAAAAATAATCCTCAGCCGGGTGCGGTAGCTCACGACTGTAATCCCAGCACTTTGGGAGGCCGAGGCGGGCGGATCACAAGGTCAGGAGATCGAGACCACGGTGAAACCCCGTCTCTACTAAAAACACAAAAAATTAGCCGGGCGCGGTTGCGGGCGCCTGTAGTCCCAGCTACTCGGGAGGCTGAGGCAGGAGAATGGCGGGAATCCGGGAGGTGGAGCTTGCAGTGAGCCCAGATCGCGCCACTGCCCTCCAGCCAGGGGTACAGAGCGAGATTCTGTCTCAAAAAAAAAAAAAAAAAAAAAAAAATTAGCTGGGCCTGGTGGTGCGTCCCTGTAATCCCAGCTACTCGGGAGGCTGAGGCAGAGAATCGCTTGAACTAGGGAGTCGGAGGTTGCAGTGAGCCGAGATCCCACCACTGCATTCCAGCCTGGCAACAGACCAAGACTCCATCTTAAAAAAAAAAAAAAAAAAATCTACCTGGATGGGGTGGTGCAAGCCTGTGGTCCTACTACTCAGGAGGCAGGAGGAGCTCTTGAGCCTGGGAGGTAGACTGCAGTGAGCCATTATCGTGCCTCTGCACTCTAGTCTGGGCGACAGAGCAAGACTCTGTCTCAAAATAATAATAATAAAACGATTAGTAGAGAAATACACTTAAATTTGCCTGTAGACCCAGCTACTTGGAGGGTAATGAAGGAGGATCACTTGAGCCTAGGAGTTTGGGCTGTAGCGTGCTGTAACTGTACTTGTGAATAGTCACTGTACTCCAACCTGGGCAATAGAATGGGCTAGCCAACCATCTAGTTGTGGGATACACTGCAGTCATGTTTGGTTATAAATATCTGATTAACATGTCTATCTTATCAGAAGCTGATGATTCAAAATGTGCTTGTAAGAGATAGGACAAATTCAAGTTATTGTCTAAGGTCAACAGTTTTTAGTCCTTTTCCATTAATATTAAAATAATTTAAGTATTATAATAAGAACTGGTCATATGCTAATTTAAAAGGTAACACACTAGATTTATTTTATTTATTTTTTATTTTTGGAGATGGGTCTTACTCTGTTTCTTGGGCTGGAGTGTAGTAGCACCTTCTTAGCTCACTGCAGCCTTGAAATCATGGGCTCATGTTATCCTTCCACTTTAGCCTCCTGAGTAGCTGGGACTACAGGCATGTGCCACTATGCTGGCTAATTTTTTAAGTTTTTGGTAGAGACTGGGTCTCACTATGTTGCCCAGGCTGGTCTTGAACTGCAAGCCTCAAGTAATCCTCCTGCCTCGGCCTCTGAAAATACTGAGATTACAGGCATGAGCCACCATGCCTGGCCTAGATTTATAATAAAAATTATGAGTAACAGCTGGGCATGGTGGCACATGCCTGTAATCCCAGCACTTTGGGAGGCTGTGGTGGGCAGATCACCTGAGGTCAGGAGTTTGAGACCAGGCTGGCCAATATAGTGAAACCCCGTTTCTACTAAAAATACAAAAATTAGCCAGGTGTGGTGGTGCACACCTGTAGTCCCAGCTACTTGGGAGGGTGAGGCAGGTGAATCACTTGAACCTGGGAGACAGAAGCTGTAGTGAGCCGAGATCATGCTACTGCATTCCAGCCTGGGAGACAGAGTAAGACTCTGTCTCAAAAGTAAATAAATAAATAATGGCTTGGGCATAGTGACTCACACAGTAATCCCAATGTTTTGGGAGGTCAAAGAGGGAGGATCACTTGAGCCCAGGAGTTCAAGGCTACAGTGAGCCATATTCATGCCACTGCGCTATAGCTTTGGTAACAGAGCAAGACCTTGTCTCTAAAAAAAAAAAACAATTAAAAAGAATATATAGCCTTCTCACAGTATCCCATCAATCTTTAGAATGATTCTTTGCTGATTCAGATTCATCCATGAAATCCAACATGTATTTGTCCCACAGTGAACTCCATTCTACAGCAACATAACACAATGGAGTTTCAGTTAATTCCAGAGGCTGGCCAACTACTTACTCAAAGTTACAAAAGAATACAAGCTAGCAAAAAACGTAAGTTAGATCTGAAAACAGAATCAAATCCTGTGAGCCTGAGTCTAAACTTATAGCTCACCAGGATCATAATGTTCTCTTGAAAGGTCAAATGTATTTTTTAAGTGGCTAAAGGTACATCACTTGACAGCAAAGCCAGACTAAACATAAGAAAAAATACAGACCACTATCTCTTGTGAATATTGGTGCAAAAATCCTCAACTAAATACTGGCAAAACAAATTCAACAGCATATGAAGAGGGTTATACACCATGACCAAGTAGAACTTATTCTTAGAAGGTAAGGATAATTTGAAATAAGGAAATCAATCTGTATAACACACCATATTAAAAGGACAAAGGGAAAATGGCCACAGAATCATTTCAAGTGATACAGGAAAGCATTTGACAAAATTTAACACCCTTTCATGATAAAAAATACTCTAAAAGCTAGGAAGAGAGAAGGAAACTACCTAAACAAAATAAAGGATATACAGTAATCCCTTGGTATACACAGGAGATTTCTTCCAGGAGCTCCTGCATATACCTGAATATATGCATACTCAAGTCCTCCATTTCGCCCTGTAGAATCCCCATGTACAAAAAGCTGGCCCTCTATATACACAGGTATCACATCCCTCAAATACTGTATTTTCATTCTGTGTCGGCTGAAAAAAATTTGTATACAAGTGGACTTGTACAGTGCAAAAACATGTTGTTCAAGGGTCAACTGTATATAAAAAACCCACAGCTAACATCATTCTCAAATTGAAAATCTGAAAGGTGTTCCCCTAAGATCAGGAGTAAAACAAAGATGTTCGCTTTCACCACTTTTATTCAACATAGAACTGGAATTCCTAGCCAGAGCAATTAGGCAGGAAAAATAAATCCAAATTGGAAAGAAATAAGTAAAATTATCTTTGTTCATAGATGACATAATCTTATGTATGGAAAACTCAAAAAACCTAAAGAATCCATAAAACCTGACAGAACTAATAAATAAATCAGCAAAGCTGCAAGATAAGAAAATCAATACAACATCACTTGTGTTCCTTTACATTACATTAATGAACAATCTAAAAAATGAAATTAAGACAATTCCACTTACTTACAATAGCATCAAAAATAATACAATACTTAGGAATAATCTTAAGCAAGGACTTGTCTTACAAAAGACATATACTGAAAACTACAAAATGTTGCTGAAAGAAATTAAAGAAGACGTGAATGAAAAGACATCCTATGATCATGGACTGGAAGACTTAATATTCTTAAGATGTCAATGCTAGCCAATGCAATGTCCATACTCAATGCAATCTCTGTCAAAATTCCAACAATGTTTTTGCAGAAAGAGAAAAATCTATCCTAAAACTCATACAGACTCTCAAGAAATCTTGAATAGCTAAAACAATCTTAAGAAAGAAAAATAAAGTTGGAGGTCTCACACCTCCTGATTTTAAAACTTTTGACACAAAGCTACGGTTATCAAAACAGTGTGGTACTGAATACAGATAGACATATAGTCCAATGAATAGAATACAGAGTCCAGAATTAAACTCCCATATCTATGCTCAAGTGACTTTTCAACAAGGATTCTAAGCTCATTCAATGGGAAAGGGCAGTCTTTCAACAAATAGTGCTGGGAAAAGATATCCATGTGTAAAAGAATGACTTTAGACCCTTATCTAACACCATATACAAAAATTAAAATGGGTTGGGTGTAGTGGCTCATGGCTGTAATCCCAGCACTTTGGGAGGCTGAGGCGGGCAGATCACTTAAGCTCACAAGTTCCAGACCAGCCTGGGCAACATGCTGAAACCCCGTCTCTACAAAAAAAATGCAAAAACAGGCCAGTGTGGTGGCTCATGCCTGTAATCCTAGCACTTTGGGAGGCCAAGGTGGGTGAATCACCTGAGGTCAGTAGTTTGAAACCAGCCTAACCAGTATGGTGAAACCTTGTCTCTACTAAAAATACAAAAATTAAACGGGCGTGGTGGCATGTGCCTGTAGTCCCAGTTACTCAGGAGGTTGAGACAGGAGAATTGCTTGAACCCAGGAGGCAGAGGTTGCAGTGAGCCGAGACTGCGCCACTGCTCTCCAGCCTGGGCAACAGAGTGAGACTCTGTCTCAAAAAAAGAAAAGAAAATTAGCTGGGCATGGTGGCACACGCCTGTAGTCTCAGCTGCTCGGGGCGTTGAGGTGGGAGGATCATTTGAACCCAGGAGGCGGAGGCTGCAGTGAGCTGTGACTGCGCGACTGCACTCCAGCCTGGGTGACAAAGTGAGACTGTCTCAAAAAAAAATAGACATAATAAATATAAGAGCTAAAAACTATAAAACTCTTAGATGAAAACATAGGGGAGAAGTTTTATAATACTGGGTTTGGCAATTATTTCTTGTATATGACACCAAAAACAGAGACAAAACATGAAAAGAATAAATTGACTTTATTAAAATTAAAAACTTTCATGTGTCAAGAACACTATCAATGGAATGAAAAGACAACCCATAGAATGGGAGAAAATACTTGTAAATAGTATATTTTATAGAGGATTAATATCTAGAATACATAAAGAACTCCTACAATTCAACAAAAACAAAACCCATAATTAAAAAAATGGGCAAAAGACTTGAATAGACATTTCTACAATGAAGATATATAGATGAGCAAAAACACATGAAAAGATACTCAATATTACTAATCAGTAGGGAAATGAAAATCGAAATTATAATAAGATGTCTCTTTACACCCATTGGATGGCCATTATCAAAAAAACAAACAAACCAGAAAACACGAAATGTTGGCAAGGATGTGAAGAACTTGGAACACTTGCGCCTTGCTGGTAGGAATATAAAATGGTCCAGCCACTGTGGAAAACGGTACGGTGGTTCCTCAGAAAATGAAATACTAAATTACTCTCCCATTTCTGGAAATATACCCAAAGAAATTGAAAGCAGAGACTTGAATAGATATTTATTGCTATTTTTTTTTTCTTCTTAAGACAGGGCCTTGTTCTGTTGCCCAGGCTGGAGTGCAGTGGTGCGATCTTGGCTCACTGTAGCTTCAACCTCCTGGGCTCAAGTGATCCTCACACCTCAGCCTCCGAAATAGACAGGACTATAGGCATCTGCCACCACACCTGGCTGTTTTTTTTTTTTTTTAAATAGAGATAGGGTCTCACTGTGTTGCCCAGAGTGGTCTCAAACCCCTGGGTTCAAGTGATCCTCCTGCCTCAGCCTCACAAAGCACTGGGCTTACAGGCATGAGCAACCATGCCTGGTTTGAACAGACACCTGTACACAAATGTTCACAGCAGCATTATTCACTATAGCCAAAAGGCAGAAGCAACCCAAATGCCCATCAACAGATGAATGAATAAACAAAATGTGACATTAAATAGAAAGTACATTCATACGATGGAATATTTTTTATTTTGTTCTTTTTTTCTTTTCTTCATACAATGGAATATTATTCAGCCTTGAAAAGGAAGGAAATTCTGGCACAAGCTATATGGATGAACCTAGAAGACATTATGCTAAGCCAGTCACACACAAAAAAAAACAAAAAACAAATACCGTATGATTTCACTCATATGAGGAACCTAGAGTAGTCAAATTCACAGAAACAGAAAGTAGAATAGTAGTTTCCAGAAGCTGGGGAAAGGGAGAAATGGATAGAGAATTTCAGAATGAGAAGATGAAAAAGTTCTGAAGATAGATGGTAGTAATACTGAAAAGCTACACAACGATATGAATGTATTTAATACCGTTGAACTGTACACTTAAAAATGGTTAAAATGGTAAATTTTGTGTTATGTATATTAGGAAAAAAACAGACCAAAGTCTGTCTCTGTTACTCAATCTTTCTTCCATATTATTTAATATAAACTCTTTTTAAATGCTGTAAAAACACATACCTTTCTGTAAAAGAGTGCTAAGGACCCAGTTCTCTTTGGCCTGCTTATTCCAGTTGAATGTACCTCTTGTGCTTTAGTCAGACTGGTCTGTTTTGGAGAAGGACCAATTAATGAATGAGCAGTAAGTGATACAGGACTCTTGACTTTGGACTCTTGATTTGTATTCATGGAAATAGGTAGTGTGATCTCTGCAGCATCATTTGCAACACCTGAATGTATAAGCATTATTAGAAATAATCTGCATATGTTCTAGGAAAGTTGTCAACTATATATATTTTGTCAATTATATATATACATATCTGTGTGCATAAGAAGGCTACAAAATAGTAATTCTAGGTTATGATTGATTTTTTTTTTTTTTTTTGAGACAGGATCTCCCTTGGTCACTCAGGTTGGAGTGCAGTGGCGCCATCTCAGCTCACTGTGGCCTCGACCTTCTGGGCTCAAGTGATCCTCCCACCTCAAGCCCTGCAAATAGCTGGGACTACAGGTGCAAACCACCATGCCTGGCTAACATTTTTTTTTTTTGAGGTGGAGTCTTGCTTTGTCACCCAGGCTGGAGTGCAGTGGTGTGATCTCAGCTCACTGCAACCTCTGCCTCCCAGGTTCAATTCTCCTGCCTCAGCCTCCTGAGTAGCTGTAACTACAGGCGCATGCCACCACACCCAGCTAATTTTTAAAATATTTTCAGTAGAGATGGGTTTCACCATGTTAGCCAGAATGTCTCGATCTCCTACCTTGTGATCCACCCTCCTTGGCCTCCCAAAGTGCTGGGATTACAGTCGTGAGCCACCATGCCCGGCCTGTATTTTTTTAGAGATGGGAGTTTTGCCACGTCACCCAGGTTAGTCTCAAACTCATGAGCTCAAGCCATCTGCCTGCCTCGGCCTCCCAAAATGCTAGGATTACAGGCATGAGCCACCGCAGCTAGCCATTTTTTTTTTTTTTTTTTTTGAGATGGAGTCTCACTCTGTCACCCAGGTGGGAGTGCAGTGGCCTAATCTCGGCTCACTGAGACCTCTGCCTCCCAGGTTCAAGCAATTCTCCTGCCTCAGCCTCCTGAGTAGCTAGGACTATAGGCATGCACCACCACACCCGGCTAATATTTTTTCTGTATTTTTAGTAGAGACAGGGTTTCACCACGTTTGCCAGGCTGGTCTCAAACTCCTGACTTCAAGTGATCCACCTACCTCAGCCTCCCAAAGTGCTAGAATTACAGGCATGAGCCACTGTGCCCGGTATCCCCCCCTTTTTTTTTTTTTTTTAAGACAACGTCTTGCTCTGTTGTCCTGGCTGGAGTACAGTTGTGTGATCACGGCTCACTGTAGCCTCAAATTCCCAGGCTCAAGTGATTCTCCTGCCTCAGCCTACCAAGTAGCTGGGACCACAGGCACACATCACCACGCCAGCTAATTTAATTTTTTTGTAGAGATAGGATATTGCTATGTTGCCCAGTCTGGGTCTCAAACTCTTGGGCTAAAGTGATCCTCTTGCCTCAGTCTCCCAAAGTGCTGGGATTACAGGTGAAAGCTACCATGCCCCATATAAATTCTTATTTTCTAGAAACAAGAATATTCGGTTTTGTTTTCATACTTTAAATTTATTGGAAAAAAAGCAAATTTTGTTCTCATTTTGTATGTGCCTGTGATGCATTTATAGTTTAAATTTATTGGAAAAAAAAGCAATTTTTTAAACATTTTGAGCACTTGAGATGTTAGTCAAAAAACAGAATTTTTGCTCAGTGCATACATATTCGTAAGCTCAGATAAGAACATTTGAAAAGTAGCTCAGGAGTTCGAGACCTGGGCAACATGGTAAAACCCCATCTGTACCACAAATACAAAAAAATTAGCTGGGAGTGGTGGCACTTGCCTGTGGTCCCAGCTACTCAGAAGGCTGAGGTGGGACGATCACTTGAGCCTGGGAGCAGAGGTTGCAGTGAGATGAGATCATGCTGCTATACTCCAACGTGGGTGACAGAGTGAGATCCTGTCTCAAAAAATAAAAACAGAAGAAAAGAAAAAGTAAAATCAGTCTAAACAAACAAAGAGGACAGTAAATTTATAAAATTTGAAAATAAAAAAAAACAAACTATAGGTTCAAAACAAAAGACAAGGTGGAGCACAGAGGATTTATAGGGCAGTGAAACTACTCTGTATGCAGCTATAGTGACAGCCACATGTCATTATACATTCTCAAAATCAATAAATTATTCAATACCAAGAGTGAACCCTAATGTAAACTACGGGCTTTGGGTAATGTGTCAATAATGTAGGTTCATCAACTGTAACAAATGTAGCATTCTGGTGTGGAATACTGATAATGGGGGAGGCTCTACATGCCTCTGGTAGGAGAAAGGGGAATATGAGAAATGTCTGTACCTTCCTCTGAATTTTGCTGTGAATCTACAACTGCTCTAAAAAATCAAATCCATTAAAAAAAAAAGTATAGATTCAAGAGAAAATGAGTTAGAAAAACCATGTGATCTAATCCACTAAGACATTTCTTAAATTTTTATCTCAGAAAAAATATAAAACAAATGCACTATAACTTTACCATGTGATGGAATTATAACTTTATGTCCTGTTGTTCCTGTTAATGGGGCTGTGGCCATTGTTAGAAGAGTTTGACCAGGTAAAATTGATATATTTTCAGCAGTAATGCTTGAAGAAGGAGCGATTTTCAATTTTGTTCCTTCTGTTATGATCTTGCCCATAAGCATTTCCTTTGGGGAATCCTCTCCAAAGAGTCTTCTCTTAGCACTCCCTGCGGTAGGAGAACTGTAGCGTTCATGGACAGAAATTGGAGACAATGGTTGCATATCTAAAAAAAATAATAATAAATTTAAAACAGAAATGTATTCCAAAATAATAAATTAGGTTTACTCATTCACTCAACAGATAGTGAGTTGAGATACTTATGCTGGGCACTAGCTAGATATGAATAACATGGCCTTTGCCCTCATGGAATATATAGTCTACTGGGAGAAAAAGGCATGAAATAAGTCACTACAGTAAAACGTGAAAATTACGATCACTCATCTTCCTGGTTTCTAGAACCTCTGCCTAAATTAAAGGAGCAAAACATTAAGGATAAAGTAGAGGTTGAGAGGTAGAATGACGTGAGCACTAAATTTTAGTAATAGTCCAATATCTCCCAATCATACCTAGTAAAGAGCACCTGAGAAGAAGGGAAGCAAAAGCAAAATCAGGAATTTGGGTCACAGTTTTGCCTCTTTGTGCATATTTGCACTCTAAGCAATTTAAGGCAGTAGCTCTGGCTTTCTAATTTAGTAGATATGGAATCATCTTCAGTAAATCCATCAGAAGATATGAGTAAAGATGATATAAATCTGCTTACCTTGCCTTAATCTGAAGGTTGGCAGTAGTGTGTTGATCAAAAATAAAGTAAGGATTATGGATTTTGCCTTTCTTCCTGTGCTATCCTTTCACAGGATCTGCTTTCCATTCCCTCTCTACCAGCTGCACGGCTTTTTCTAGCCCCTTACAACCCTACATCTTTTCTAAATCTTTTTCCACAATTCTTCCCTCAACCAATGATTCCTTACAGGTAGGTCAATAATATGCTTTTAAAGCAAAAGTATTTATTTATTTATGAGAATGGAGTCTCGCTGTCACCCAGGCTGGACTGCAGTGGTGCAATCTCAGCCTACTGTGACCTCCACCTCCTGGGTTCAAGCAATTCTCTTGCCTCAGCCTCCCAAGTAGCTGGGACTACAGGCGTGTGCCACCATGCCTGGCTAATTTTTCTATTTTTAGTAGAGACAGGGTTTCGTCATGTTGGCCAGACTGGTCTTGAACTCCTGACCTCAGGTGATCCACCTGCCTCAGTTGGGATTACAAGCTTGAGTCACCATGCCTAGCCTTCATTATTTATTTTTACATTCACTAATTAGTCATGTAATCTACTTTCTTTTTCTTTTTTTTTGAGATGGAGTCTTGCTCTGTTGCCCAAGCTGGAGTGCAGTGGTATGATCTCGGCTCACTGCAAGCTCCACCTCCTGGGTTTACACCATTCTCTTGCCTAAGCATCCCGAGTAGCTGGGACTACAGGCGGCCACCACCACGCCCAGCTAATTTTTTGTATTTTTAGTAGAGATGGGGTTTCACCGTTAGCCAGGATGGTCTCGATCTCCTGACCTCGTGATCTGCCCACCTTGGCCTCCCACAGTGCTGGGATTACAGGCATGAGCCACCGTGCCTGGCCCTGTAATCCATTTTCAAAACATGCTTAAAATGTATTAAAATGACCCGTAGCGATGATTTAGCAGCTCTCTGTATTAGTGAGGTGATTGGGAAAATAGTAACAGTTTAATAAAAATCTTTCCATAATTCTTGGGCTTATGAAAGTAGCTTTTACTTCCCATCTTCAGTAAACAAGTGCAAATTTCTATAGTAGTTTCCGTTACTCCTTTACAAGAGTTCATGTGAATGCCTTATATCTAAGAAATCCACGCAAGCCCTTGAATCTGACTAGGTACATTCAAAGGTGACATTTCAAGGCAAGACTCGAGCTGAAGCCATAAAGTTAGCTGCAAATCCCTTGAAATGATCTTTTCTTAGCACAGTACTGGAACAGCTATGGTGGATACTCAATAAGAATGTAATGAATATACAAATGAAAAGCAGATCCAAATTTAGAAAGAAACATGACAATCTGTCAAGGTACAGAAAAGATGCTCACTTAGTTACAAATTATATGAGAGGAAGGTGGCAAGCACAGTTTAAACTATTCTTGGTAAGTTTTTAAAAAAGAAAATAATTCCCAATATTTTGAAAGTTTTAAATTATAGTATACTGAATATTTTTACTATTTTTTCATTTACCTAAACATTAATAACTGACAGTAAGAAGAGGCTTTTTTTGTTTAACATTTTGACAAGATTTGTAAAGGTCAAAAAACAATTATAATTATTCCCAATAATTAAAATTACTGAGTATTCACATCTTAATGCAATCTTGTTTTTTTTGTTTTTTTGTTTTTTTTGGAGACGGAGTCTCACTCTGTCGCCAGGCTGGAGCGCAGTGGCACTGTCTCGGCTCACTGCAACCTCCACTCCTGGGTTCCAGCAATTCTCTTGCCTCACTCTTGTTTTAGCCTCCCAAGTAGCTGGGACTACAGGGGCACACTGCCATGCTTGGCTAATTTTTTGTATTTTAGTAGGGACTGGTTTCCACTGTGTTGCCCGGGCTGGTCTTGAACTCCTGAGCTCAGGCAATCCGCCTGCCTCAGCCTCCCAAAGTGCTAGGATTACAGGTGTAAGCCACTGCGCCAGGTTTTTTTTTTTTTTTTTTTGAGATAGAGTCTTGCTCTGTACCCAGGCTGGAGTACAGTGGTACCATCGCTGCTCACTGCAAACTCCATCCCCTGGGTTCAAGCAATTCTCCTGCCTTAGCCACCTGAGCAGTTGGGATTACAGGTGTGTACCACCATGCCTGGCTAATTTTTGTAGTTTTAGTAGAGACGGGGTTTCACCATGTTAGCCAGGCTGGTCTCGAACTCCTGACCTCAGATGATCCACCACCTCGGCCTCTCAAAGGAGTGCTGGGATTACAGGCGTGAGTATGTACTGGCACAGCCACCTTATGCAATCTTTTTTTGGGGATGGAATCTGCTTTGCTCCACCCAGGCTAGAGGCAATGGTGTGATCTCGCTCACTGCAACCTCCGTCTTGGGTTCAAGTGATTCTGCCTCAGCCTCCTGAATGGCTGGGATTACAGGCACCGCCACCACGCCCAGCTAATTTTTGTATTTTTAGTAGAGATGGGGTTTCTCCATCTTGTGATCTGGTCTTGAACTCCTGACCACTCTGTGATCCACCCGCCTCAGCCTCCCAAAGTGCTGGGATTACAGGCGTGAGCCACTGCGCCCGGCTTTTTTTTTTTCTTTTGAGACAGAGTCTTGCTCCATCCCAGGTTGGGAGGTCAGTGGTCTGGAGATCTTGGCTCACAACCTCTCTGATTCAAGTGATTCTCCTGCCTCAGCCTCTGAGTAGCTGGGATTACAGGTGCCCACCACACATCCAGCTAATTTTTGTGTTTTGGGTAGAGACAGATTTCACCATGTTGGCTAGGCTGGTCTTGAACTCCTGGACCCTCAGGTGATCTGCCATGTGCCTCACAAAGTGCTGGGATTACAGGTGTGAGCCTGTGCCTGTGCATTATTTTTGCCAGTCTGCATTGCATGTAAGCAAGGCTTGAGCGGACAGGAACCAAACACACATACAATCACACAGAGTCAAGAAATCGATGTACCATACTATGTAACCTGAATACTGTTCATCTAAGATTTGTTAGGATACTGGTTTTGGTTTGATGGGTTCATATAATCAGATGCACATCCAGCTGCTTTCGTCTAGGAAAATAAGAGAAGGAGCTGAGCAAAATATTTCTCTATTGGTGAGTTTCAAAATGAACTATTTTAAGAGTATAAATAACTAGTTTATTAGATGAACTTAAGCAGTCCAAAGATAATACAAATTTTATTTCTTTTGCTAATGTTTTCTACAGAGACATACAGGCAAAGGAAGAATATAGAAGTTTGTGAAATTCGGAAAAGTAGGTATTTAGCTTAGTGATATGGTTTAGCTCGTCACCAAATCTCATCTTGATTGTCCCCATAATTCCGTCTTCATGGGAGGACCAGGTGGAGGTCACTGAATCATGAAATTGAGTCTTTCCATGCTGTTCTCTTGGTGAATAAGTCTCACCAGAGATCAGTGATTTTATCAGGAGTTCCCTGCACACAAGCTCTCTTCTTGCCTGCTGCCATGTGGAAGATTGCCTTTGCTCTTCCTTTGCCTTCCACCATGGTTAGCAGGGGCCTCCCCAGTCATGTGGAACTGTGGAAGTAAATCAAGCCTCTTTCCTTCCATAAATTACCTAGCTTTGGGTATGTCTTTATTAGCAGCATGAGAAGAGACTAATACACTTATCTTTTTCCTTTCTTCTTTCCTTTTTTGGGACATGAGGAGATCTCACTGCTTTGCAGGCTGAGTTAAGCACAATCTCAATCCTCCTGCCTCAGCCTCCTGGGTAGCTAGGACTACAGAAGAAGACACCATCATGCCTGACAGTGTTAAGCTTATTTAAACAGTTCTCCCGTAGCATTCAGGAAAGATTACATACATTTATTAAATAAATTATATTTAAAATTCTATTAATATAGTATACACTATAGTATATTATATATATATAATAGTATATAATGCTTAATGTACAATGAAGCTACACAGGGGAGTGCTGGCACAAGCATCAAGCTCCTTTGAATCCTGCTGAAAAGAATTAGTTTCTTAATAATATACTCACAAGACTTAAAAATTTTTAAGAAAAAAACCCCAAATACCCTTTATTTACTTTTTCATTCCTTTACCAATGTTGAACCTACCTCTTCGAAGACTCCCACTGTCAGTTCGAACCTTGACCTCTTGGGTGCATTAGAGGAGAACATTGGCATCATGGGAGAATGTCCTGTGCAATTTACTCCATTTCACTGTTTCAAAGTTATTTGGGAATATAACCCTGTAGAAAACAAAAACCCTTGGGTTTATATAAACTTGCTGATTAAAACTTTTATTAAAAATCTTTCTTTTCTTTTTTTGAGATAAAGTCTCACTCTGTTTCCCAGGTTGGAGTGCAGTGGCACGATTCCGGCTCACTGCAACCTCTCGGAGTTCAAGTAATTCTCCTGTCTCAGCCTCCTGAAGTAGCTAGGACTACAGGTGCATGCCCATCCGCCCAGCTAATTTTTATTATTTTTAGTAGAGACGAGGTTTCACCATGTTGGCCAGGCTGATCTTGAACTCCTGACTTCAGATGATCCACCCACCTCAGCCTCCCAAAGTGCTGCAGGATTACAGGCGCAGATCACTGTGCCTGGCCGAAAAGTGTTTTTCTTGCTTTTATTTTTACTATTTTATTTCTCTTTCTCACTTCTTACAAGAAATACAACTTGGATAAAGTGCTCAATTCACCAATGTTAACAAACTTATGGAAAGTTCATTTCATTAACCTTGTAATTTATATAGGTAAGTTACCAACCACAGAACTAAACCTATAGGGTGACGTATCATTCTCCATTTAGGGATGAGAAAATTGAGGATCTGAATGTAGAAATTTGCAAGGTCATACAACTAGTAAGTTATAAGGCTGGCTTCAATACCAATCCTTCTTGAGTTCACAGCTTTTTGAACTTAGAAATTTGAAATTACTTCAATGAAATAAACTGATAGACACTGAAAGAGTGGCCCAGTGAGTTACTGTCTGCTGCAAAGACCAAGAGAATATGGAAGAAAGAAGATTTCGAAAGCAACCATCTTCTTACTAATTCCTCTGGCAGCAGACAGTTCTAGTAGTTTGGGGATTAGGGAAAAATTTAAGACCTAGTGAAGTACCGCAAGGAGACAAAACAAAGAGAAGAATCAAAAGACAGGAGTTACAAAAGAGAATAACAGAAGTGAAAAAAACAACCACTTGATTCTCACATGATGCTACTATAAAGAAGTATGAATTTGTGTACAACTCTGTAGGCATACATTTTTAATTTTTATTTATTCCTATTCATTCAAGTTTTTTTGAGACAGTCTTGCTCTGTTGTCCAGGCTGGAGTGCAACAGCACCATCTCAGCTCACTGCAACCTCCGCCTCCTGGGTTCAAGCAATTCTCTGCCTCAGCCTCCCAGAAGTAGCACAGGATATAAATTGTAATGCCACCACGCCCGGCTAATTTTTGTATTTTTAGTAGAGACAGGGTTTCGCCATGTTAGCCCCATCTCGTCTCTCAAACTCCTGACCTCAGGCAATCAACCCACCTTGGCCTCCCAAAGTGCTGGGATTACAGTCATGAGTACTGTGGCGGCCTCTGTTTTTATTTTTAATTCTAAATACCACTAATGAAGTGTTCAATCTTCATGCCTGAACATTTGAGAAAATTTTAAATAAGTTTAACGGTTTCCTAGACATGATACCCAAAAGCACAAGCAAGAAAAAATATCTGAATTGAGACTGCATCAAGGTAAAATATTTTGCATTTCAAGAACACCATCAAGAAAGTGAAGACAGACCAGGCGCGAGTGCACTCCTTCCTGTAATCCCAGCACTGGAGAACCATCCTAGCTAACTGCAGTGAAACCCCTTCTCTACTAAAAATACAAAGAAATTAAAGCTGGGCGTGGTGGTGAGTGCCTATAGTCCCAGTTATGGGAGGCTGAGGCAGAGAATTGCTTGAACCGGGAGGCAGACGTTGCAGTGAGCCGAGATTGCGCCACCACTCAGCCTGGGTGACAGAGCCAAGACTCCGTCTTAAGAAAAAACATTAGCGGTGTGGGTGTGGTGGTGTTCTGTGGTCTCAGCTACTTGAGAACAGAAGGGCTGTTGGGCGGGGAAGTTGCGGGTGCAGTCAGTGTGCCACGTTTGCAACTCACTGAACACCAGCCGGGCAGCGAGAGGCACATAAAAAAGGAAATGAAATACTGATCTGTTCTACAACATGGATAGACCTTAAAAACATTATGCTAAGCGAAACAGACACCCAGTCAGGAACTACATTTTGTAGTTACATTTATATAGAGAGGAAATGTCTAGAATAGAGCAGAATTCTGAGGACAGAAGTAGATTATGATTACTTAGAGCCTAGGGAAGATACAGGGGTAGGAAGTGATAGCTAAAGGATGTACATTCTTTTTGAAATGATAGATCATATTCTAAAATTGTGGTTATATTTCACACAATATCTATTTATATACTAAAACCACTAAGATTGTACATAAAATGGGTGAACTGTGTATGGGATTATCTCTCCAATAAGCTGTGTTTTTTGTTTTTGTTTTGTAGTAGGATTGCTCAGCCTTGCCCGGACTCACTTCTTCACAGGTAGGAACTTTGTTTGCAGGAAACCTGAAGCCTCCCACAGTGCAGAATCATGACTCCATGCACTAAACTCTCCAAAAATCTGTTCTTCAATGCCTGTTCAGGTGTTTCACCATGTCCTCGAACCCCACTCTTCTGGGCGGATCACCACCTCAATAACTGCAAGAGGAGAAGGTGGGGAAGGCAATGTGGTTTTCAAACAGTTAGTTCTAATTGGACTTGCATGTAGGATTAGCTGTGAGCTGCTTCTTCTTCTTTTTGAGACAGAGTTCCCTCTGTTGCCCAGGCTAGAATGCAGTGGTGCGATCTTGGCTCACTGCAACCTCTGCCTCACGGGTTCAAGTGATTCTTCTGCCTCAGACTCCCGAGTAGCTGGGATTACAGGCACCTGCCACACCATACCGGCAAATTTTTGTAGTTTTTAGTAGAGCTGAGGTTTCACCATGTTGTGAGCTGGTCTAGAACTCCTGACCTCAGGTGATCTGCCGCCTAGGCCTCCCAAAGTGTTGGGATTACAGGTGTGAGTCACTGCCCATCCTGTGGCCTTATTCTGGCATAGAACCAAAATCATCTTTGAACCATAATTCTGTGACTTACTAACATCTTCTAATTTATAAAAGGCTTTAGTTCTTTCGACTATGTTCCTTACATTTCCTATTTTCATGTTTCATTTTATAAATAACCTGAGGCAATGATAAGTGAAAAACTGGTCAACAGCCAGCAATTAAGAGGAAGTCAGGTGTTGGAGGTTCCCAAGTCTAGTTCTATTTTCAAATGTATTGTTCCTTTCAGACTATTTTTTCCACATGTCAAAATAACAGAATGAATGAACTATTTAAGTGACTTTGCTTATATATACTATAATTCTGTTTAATAAAGGAAGTATCAGAATAAGTTTATATACACAAAATGTGTAATATTAGGAGTAATAATTAGATTATGATGTGACTTATAATATTCACATTTATTTATTTATTTATTTATTTTGAGACGGAGTCTTGCTCTGTTGCTCAGGCTGGAGTGCAATAAACCATCTGGGGGCTCACTGTAATCTCCGCCTCCCGGCTTCAAGCCATTCTCCTGCCTTGCTTAGCCTCCCCAGGTAGCTGGGACTACAGGCACATGCCACGATGCTGCGGCCTAATTTTTTGTATTTTTAGTAGAGATAGGTTTTGCCATGGCTGTGGGATGGTCTCAATCTCCTGATCTCATGATCTGCCCGCCTCGGCCTCCCAAAGTGCCAAGTTGGCGTGAGTCATTGCGCCCGGCCCACATTTTATGTTTATGAAGGTCGGTCTTCAATAACACCACATCATTTATGTCGTTTAAAAAAACAAAGGAGGGCGACAGTGACTCACAGCCTGTAATCCCAACACTGGGAGGCCACAGTGAAAGTTGCTTGAGCCAGGAGTTCGAGACCAGCCTGGGCAACTATAGTGAGCAGTCTCTCTGAAACATTTAACTTCTTGAATAAAATAAGGATGTTACAAATAAAAACAAATTAGTATGAGGTTGTTGACAAACTAAACTTTTCCCTAATGGCAAAGTTGAATATATACATTAACATTAAAGTAAGTTAGTATAGTAGAATCACTTCTCCTAAGAAACCTAAAATACTTTAATCCTCAATAATTCAGAGAATAAGCCTCCAATGACTACCATTTTCTACAACTTTAATTCAGGCATACTTTGGAGGTATAAAAATTTAACTCTTCAAACCAATTTTTTATCACCAGTAGAAAAGAAAGTAGCCCTAGATGACTAAATATTAACTAAATCATGCCAAGAAGCATAACAGTAGCATTAGTCTTAAATTTCCATACTACTAACAACATTAAACATTATTGACTGTGATGACTAAATGTTATTGAGGGTGATGATGTAGTTCAATACTTTGTAACCTCTGTTTATTTCTCAAGAAAGGACCGTAAAATAGTTGCCCTTGAAAATACTTAAAAGATTCATTCACACTGAATTAGCTCAAACTTGGGAAAAGCATAATCTGTGCAGCTTCCAGTAGTTAGACTATCACCGAAATCAATTTTGGGTCTTTTTTCCTCTTGATAGAAAGTGTTTCTTACACATTTCTTCACCACGCATTTGTTTAACAGGATATAATTTTCATTCATAAATGAGAAAATATGAAGTTAAGTACTAGTTCCAGGTCATATTTCAAGTCTGTGAAATAATGAAAGGAACTATGAAGCTATAAGACTGACTTAATTGCAGAAACCACTCTCACCTTCTCTCTCTCCTTTTTTGTTTGAAACAAGGTCTTGCTTCCAAGTGCCAGGCTCAGGTGGTGTGAAGGTGGCACAATCCTGAGTTTGGTAGCTCACTGTAACCTCAAACTCCTGGACTCAGCCATCCTCCAGCCTCAGTTTGCTCCTAAGTGCTGGGATTATAGATGTGTGAGCCACTGTATGCTCCAGCTTGTCTCTTGTGTTCCTGGTTTCCACCCGAGAATCATATTATCTTTTTCTTGAGACAAATTTTTGCTCTTGTCATTCTAGGCTGGAGTGCAAGCCTCCACCTCCAGGTTCAAAAGCCAATTCTCCTGCCTCAGCCTCTGAGCTGAGATTACAGTGCTGTACTATGCCACAGCTACTTTTTTTGGTATTTTTGGTAGAGATGAGTTTCACCCATGTTGGCCAGGTTGGTCTCGAACTCCTGACCTCAGGTGATCCCTCCCCAGCAGCCTTCCAAAGTGCTGGGATTACAGGCATGAGCCACCGTGCCCAGACAGGAATATATATTTCCAAGAACACATCTGAAACATTTCCCAAAGATATCACACAACAGTGTTTTCTTCAACATAAGATAAATACAATGTTTTCTTGAAAACACTGTTTTCATCTCATATAACATAACTTTGTTTTCATCTCACCTTATAAAATGCTTGGCTGCAGTTGGGAACAATCGTCAAAGGAAAGTCACGAGGTGGGCTATGAACCCAAAAGCACAATTTCAAACAACAAGCCATCAAGGAATGATCAAATATATCTTGCTCTAAAAGAACCTGGGGAAAGAGAAAGACCACAGTTTAATATTTTTCCTTAATTTCAGTCTTTGCCATTGTACAAAGAAAACTATGGTAACAAGAAACAATAACGTGCAAATTATATTATACTAGATTACTGGAGATAAAAATTTCAGTTCTCAAACTGGTAGTTTTCACTGTGATACCTAATCTTGCTCAGTGGTAGGTAATAGAATTTAAATAAGATACATAACAATCTGCTTTGAAATCTGAACAAATAATAGCCAATAATTATTCCCATCATGAAAAAGCACATGAAATTGGTTACATTTCTTTTCATAATGACAGTTAATTGTTTTTGTCAACATAAAAAGGATTTATCAAACAGAAATGAAAGGTGTCATACAGTTTAGACAAAATGTTTAGAAAAATATTTCTTCAAAAAATAAAAGCCTACTTTACCATTACATTTAATATAAGTTTTCAGTTTTAAAAACAGTGTTGCCTTCTTTCTTTCAAATATCACCCCAGATTAGCCAGGCGTGGTGGCTCACCTGTAATCTCTGTACTTTGGGAGGCCAAGGCAGGTGGATTACTTGAGGTCAGGAGTTCAAGACCAGCTTGGCCATCATGGTGAAACCCCTCTCTACTAAAGTACAAAAGTGGCTGGTGTGGTGAGCATCTTCACTGTAATCCCAGTTACTCCAGAGGCAGGCAGTGGAATCACTTAGCCAAGCCTGGGGAGGCAGGGGTTGCAGTGAGATCCATCACCACACTCCAGACACAGGTAACAGAGTGAGACTCAGTCTCAGAAAAAAACAAAAAACAAAAACAAAAAAACAAATATCACCCCCAAATCAAGAGAGATAAAAAACAGAAACTCCATCATCAGTTAGACTAGGAATCATCTGTAGCTGCTCAAACCACAATATATGAAGGATGACAAATTACTTAGAAGGGATGATGAGTCAAAGCCTAAGAGACCCATGGTGGGGCAATTTCAAAATAGGTAGATCTGCTCTAAAAAAGACATAGCAACTGAGACTACAGGCAGGAGTAGGAGAAGTAGGGTAGGCACTGAGTGAGTCGAAAGTCTTAGGATCCTCCAGGTCCCCACTGCAACTCCCTCTATGGGATCAGATGACAGGCCCTCTATTCTGTCTCTGGGAATCTACGGATTATTCTCCAGAGAAGAGTGGACTGAGGCTCAGAGGTGGAGAACATCAGGCACAGAAAGGGCCCAAGGTTTTGGTCTTTGGGGCCTGCAGACTGAACCATAAGACCAGATTTCCCTCCTTCTTCTGATCCACAGCACCCGGCAGCTCCGAACTTAGGTATTAGCAGATATGTCTGCAGGAGAAACTGGGATATTCCAGAAAGTTTTATGGGCACAGCAGATGAGTTCTCTAACACTATCTGATCATCACAGAGGTCAGCGAGACTTTTTATTTCCACTCTTGAAATAAAAAGAGCTTTAAACAAACTTTGCTGCCTCACTCACACGGCTTTGAACCACCAAGTTTGTGTCTCATTCAAATTTAAGTGGACAACCAGAATTATCCGACATTTGAGAGAAACCTCTTAACTGAAAAACATGGGTCAAAACAAACAGAAAAGCAGGTGCAGCAGCATGGTACCCTTGTAGTCCCAGCTACTTGGGAAGCTGAGGCAGGAGGATCACTTGAACAGCAGTTGACACCTGTGAAGCAACATGGCGAGAACCACAAACGTACCTGAAAAAAGAAAAAAGAAGAAGAAGAAAAAAAAAGCCAGGTGCAGTGGCTCATGCCTGTAACCCCAGCTTGCTTTGAAGGCTTGGCCGGGTGGATTAGCTGAGGTCAGGAGTTCGAGACCAGCTTGGCCAGCATGGTAAAACCCCATCTCTGCAAAAATACAAATTTGTACTGGGCGTGGTGGCATATGCCTATAATCCCAGCTACTCAGAGAACTGGGGCAGGAGAATCGTTTGAATCCGTGAAATGGCTTGCAATGGCTCGAGATCACACTGCTGCACTCCAGCCAGAGGCGACAGGGGCTGAGACTCTGTCCCTCCTCCGCCAAAAAAATTAAAGATCCGCTTTATCTGCAAATGCGAATTTTTCGTGAAAACCACTTACCAGGGAAGACCATCACCCATCGAGGGTTGAACCCTTGAACACAACAGAAAATGAGAGGCCAATATCCCAGGATAAAGGAAAGAATTCCTCTGATCAGCAAAGACTGATCTTTGCTTTTGTGAAAGCAACTGGAAGATGTCTGAGGTTACAGCATTCAAAGAGTCTACTCTTCATCTTGTGTTGAGACTTCGTGGTGGTGCTAGAGAAAAGGAAGGGGAAGTCTTACTGCTCCCAAGAGAATAAGCACAAGAAAAGAAGGTGCTTTACTTATCTGAAATGTATTATAAGGTAGATCGACAGCCAAATTAGTTGCTTTCGTCGTACCCTTCTGATGAATGTGGTGCTGGAGTGTTTATGGCAAATCACTTTGACATTGAGGACATTATTGTGGCAAATGTCGACATATTTCCTTCTCAACAAACCCAGATGTCAAAATCAACTGCCTTGTGAGTTAATAAAACATAAACTAACATTTTTAAAAAAAATTAAAAATATTTTTAAAAGAAAAAAAAGGCTGGACACGGTGGCTCACACCTGTAATCCCAGCGCTTTGGGAGGCTGGTGGGTGGATCACTGAGGTCAGGAGGTTGGAGACCACCTGACCAGCATGGAGAAACCTATCTCTACTAAAAATACAAAAGTAGCCAGGTGTGGTGGCGCACATCCTGTAATCCCAGCTGCTTGGGAGGCTGGGGCGGGAGAATCGCTGGAGATCAGGAGGCAGGAGGTTGTGGTAAGCCAGGAATCACACCATTTGCCTGCTCCAGCCTGGGCAACAAGGTGAAACTCTGTCTCAAAAGAAAGAAACGAGAAAAATGGAGAAAAATTCCAGGGAAGCAGAGAGGTGAAGCAGTTAGAAGCTTCAAATATATCTAAATTAGTACTTTAGAACATGAAGAAATGAAAATATAGTTGAGTCTAAGTTCATTGGGGCGAGAGATTGAAAACTTAAGGCAATATCTTTAAAAGTAGAATAAAAGAGATAAAGAAATGGAAAATAAGAGAAGAAATTAAGAAGGTCAATTCAGAAGGTCCATCATCTGAAAAATGAAGTTCCAGAAAGATAAATCAGTGGGCAATGTCATCTGAAATAACACAATAAAATGACCAAACACAGGGCATAGCTTCTAAGCCCAAGCGAGAACTTAGCTCTGTGCGGAGCCAGCAAATACATGAATGAAAAAAACACAGTCAGATACATTTTTACAAATTTAAGAACATCAGTGATAAAAGATAAAGATTCCAGAAAAAAAAACAGGTCTGTACTACTAAGTGAGAATGCAGATATCACTGGACTTCTCATTAGTAACATTGGAATTATAATAAATATTAATGCAGTTGTAGCTTCTAACTCATAAAGAAAATGATTGTCAGTCTAAAAATTATTTTCTTTTAAAAGGATAATTTTTTTGTTTTTTTAGGGATGGGAATATTATTTAATGTTACTAGGATTAGTACAGTAGACTATTCACAGTACAATCATCCTACAGTGTACATACAATTACATTATCAGCTCCTGGCTCAGCAATCTCTTGTCTCAGCCTCCCTGCCAATCTTTTCTTTTGTCACAGAGATGGAGTGTTTATGGCATTGCCAGGCTCAGAGAAAGTGCAATAGCATCTCGGCTCACAGCCTCTGTCTCCTGGGTTAAGCGATCCTGCCTCAGCCTCTCCCAATAGCTGGGATCTGGGCATGTGCCATCACGCTGGTGTTTGTATTTTTAGTAAGTGGGGATTTCATGTTGGTCAGGCTAGTCTGAAACTCCTGACCTTGATGATCCACCTGCTGGCGCCTCCCAAAGTGCTCGGATTGAGTGGCTCCACCTTCCCGGCCTCTCCACCAATCTTGAATTACCCAGCATAAGTAGACAACTGTCAATCAATTGTAGGTCTAAGGTAAAGATGCACTTATTGCAAGTCTTTAAGAAAGGGACTTTAGTAGGAGGCAAGGTTTCTATACACATAGTTAAATGCTTCTACAAAACATCTATAAAAAAAAAAAAAAAACTTTTACAAGGCTCTAAAAATGTTCCAAGTTACCACAGGAAGGAGAAAAAACAGAATTTAAAAAAGAACAAACAGAAAGAAACAAAAATAAGGAAAGTATGACTTAGCATAACACTTTGACAATTACTAAATGTAGGTATCTAAATTTACTAATTAAATGACAGAGATTGTAAAGATTGGAAAAAAATAACCAGCTAATAACATGACTATAAGAAATTCTTTGAATCACTTGAAAAGGATGAAAAAAATATGCCACGCAAACATTAATGAAAAGAAAAATTAGTTGTGCATAAACATCAGGTAGATTTCAAACCAGAAAATTACCATGGACAGAGAGGAACATTTTATTTATTTATTTAATTTTTAATTTTTTTTTTGAGATGGAGTCTCACTCTGTTGCCCAGGCTGGAGTGCAGTGGGTGCAATCTTCGGCTCACCCACAGCCTCCGCCTCCCAGGTTCAAGCGATTCTCCTGTCAGCCTCCCGAGTAGCTGGGATTACAGGTGCCACGCGCCACTATGCCTGGCTTTATATTCTTTTTGAAGTAGAGACGAGTTTCACTATGTTGGCCAGGCTGGTCTCGAGGCTCCTGACCTTGTGATCCACACCCAGCAGCCTCCCAAAGTGCTGGGATTACAGGCGTGAGTCACCGTGTCCCAGCCTTATTTTATTTTATTTTGAGATGCAGATCTTACTCTGTCTTCCAGGCGGGAGTGCAGTGGTGTGATCTTGGCTCACTGCAACCTCTGCCTCCCGAGGCTCAACAATTCTCCTGCTCCGCCTCCCAGAAGCCAGCTGGGATTGCAGGCCTGCTGCCACCATGCCAGCTAGCATTTTGTATTTTTATTTATTTTGTTTTGAGATGAGTCTCACTCTGTTGCACAGGTGGAGTGCAGTGGTGTGATCTTGGCTCACTGCAGCCTCCCACCTCCTGGGTTCAGCCGATTCTCCTATCCTCAAGAGCTCATAGTAGCTGGGACTATGGCTCACCACCACCCTGGCTGAATTTTTTGTATTTTTGGTTCAGGACGAAGTTTTGCCATATTGGTCAGGCTGGTCTCGAACTCCTGACCCTCAGGTGATCCACCTGCCTCGGTCTCCCTGGTCTGGGATTAGGATGCGCAAGCCCGCCACTTGCTCAGCCTTTTATGTGTTTATTAGAGACCAGTGTTTCGCCATGTTGGCCAGGCTGGTCTCGAACTACTGACCTCAGGTGATCCACCCCTGCCTCGGTCTCCCAAATGCTGGGATTATGGCGACCACTGTGCCTGTGGGAGTAACATTTATAATGATTAAGTCAATTCATTAAGAAAGGCAGACAGCAATCTAAATGCCTTAAGCATCAAACAGCAGAGCTTCAAAGTAATAACGGAGAAAAATGACGAACTTGAAGAAAATGAGCAAATCTACAATCATACACATGAATACTTCCAACATCCTCTATCAACAACTGATATAACAACTAGACTGGAAATCATAGAAGAATATAAATAACAACATCAACCAACAAGATCAAATTAATAATTTACAGAATACTCCATCTGAACATAGCAGAATATAGCAGAATCCTTGAATAGCAAGGATCTCATCATTTGTTATAACAATGTGAAAAGGATCATGGATTCCCAGCTGGGGCACCGTGTAAATTTGTACATTCTTCCTATGTCTGCATGAGTTCTCTCTCTGGGTGCTCTGGTTTCTTCTTACATTTCAAGATATGTACATTAAGAAAGCAATTGACGTATCTAAATTGTGACAGTGTAAGTGTGGGTGTGTGTGTCCTGTGAAGTGAAATGGTGTCACAGCTAGGAGTTGGAGTCAGCGTTTCATCTTGAGCTGCTGAGGTAGGCTCTAGCCACTCATGACCCTGAACAGGAATAACTGGGTGAGTAATAATCTTTACTTATTTTCTATTACTCTTTCTCTTATTTATTTCAACATTTAACATTGCTAAATTATTTTGTCTTTATTTAGAAGTTCTAGTGATGTTTTTGTGACTGAACTGTCTCTCAAAGGAACTTAAACTCTTGCTTATACCAGTTAGCCTATGGTAAGGTGTGGTTTCATTGTATGTTTTTGCTTAAAGTCCTCTTCCAGAACCTACTGGCAAGGGTTAAATGTGAGGATTTGTTCTTTTCAGTGGCCCACAGAACATTCACCATGATAAACCACATCTGGGCTACAAAATAACTAAACAAATTTAAGAAAAATTGAATTCCTTACAAGAGTTATGTAGAAGTGAAGGCTCAGTAGTGGCTGGAGTAAGTGTAATTAACTATAAAAGGAGTTGCTTGGGAGAGGAGATCTTTAACAGTTCAGTATCTATTTTGGTGATGGTTACATAATCTATACATGTGATACAATTTTATACACACACACACACATACACACTGTTTTTAATGTCAATTCCCAGTTCTGATGCTGCATGTATAAACTGTAACCTGAACGCTGGATATAGGATGTGTGGGACTTCTCCTGTACTACTTTTGCAACTGCATGAATCTGAGTTATTTCCAAAATAAAGTTGGCCGGGTGCAGTGACACACACCTGTAATCCCAGCACTTTGGGAGGCTGAGGAAGGTGGATCGCAGGTCAGGAGGTTCAAGACCAGCCTGGCCAGATGGTGAAACCCTGTCTCTACTAAAAATACAAAAAAAAATTAGCAGTGTGGTGGCAGGTGTATGTCTGCCTGGAATCTTAGGATTCCAGCTATTGGGAGGCTTCTGTGCAGAATTGCTTGAACTCAGGCGGCGGGGTTACAGTGAGCTGGGATTGTGCTGCTGCCTCCCAGCCTGAAGGCGACAGAACAAGGCTTCACATATCAAAATAAATAAATAAAATAAATAAATAAATAAATAAAAAATTAAAAATTAAAATAAATAAAGTTAAAAATATTTGCTTCACCAATGGTAGAGGTGGCTGTAATCCTAGCACTTTGGGAGGCTGAGGCGGGCAGATCGCCGGGGTCAGGAGTTCAGACCAGCCTGGCAACATGGTAAAACCCTGTCTTTACTAAAGAAATACAAAAATTAGCCAGGTGTGGTGGTGGGCCTGTAACTTTAGCTCTGGGAAGCTGAGGCATGAGAATCAAAACTTGAACCCAGGAGATGGAGGGTGCAGTGAGCCAAGATGGTGCCTGCACTCCAGTCTGGAAGTGACAGAGGCAGAGACTCAGTCACAAAAATATATATATATATATATGTATGTTTACTTATTTCTCAGAAAGCCATGAAGGTGTATGCCATCCAAGATTATTAGTGTAAACTGAAGAAGAAAGAATGGGAATCAGGAAAAGAGAAACCAACACAGAAAATATATGAAAAATTTCCAAATCAAACACAGAAGAAATTCTATTACAATAGTTACTGGCATGTAAGACATCAACCTACCTGTTAGGATGATTTAGAAGACTCAAGAGTAGCTGCAGAGGAAATAATGAAGGAAGAGGAAACAAGATCATATGATAGAGTTTGAATTTGTAGAAAATTCTTTTATACAGCTTATTAAGGAGAAGTGGTCTGACTTGGTCAAATAGTTAAAGAACCAAAACAAACCCTTCCACATACTCCCCAACCATTTTTGCAATAAAATCCTTGGAAGGTATGGACAAATGTCTTAACAGTTGTTTTAACAGATGGAGGGGATCACTGGCTGAGAATGAGGACAAAAACAAAAAAACAAAAACTTAAAACACTGATATTGTGCAAGAAGATGAACTGTATTATTTCCATTCTGCTAGATGTGATTATGCCATGTGCTAAAGTCAAGCTAAATGTCATCTGGCCAAAGTGTGTCCCTAGTTGTTGACCCCCACAATGCCTTACAGAGCCTCTCAAAACACCCGCTTCCGGGCTACATTTGGACCTTGCCAGTAAGCGCAGAGAGTGGATTACTTACTGACATGTCCATTCCGCAGAAGTCTTCGTGTTTCCTGAACAAAATGGTCTCTATTTATAATAAAATTTCTGCCAGCTTTAGTCTGTTTACACAGCAAGTCTATTGAAACACAGAAGAAAACATGTGTTAATGAATTTTAGTTGTTAAGGACTGAAAGCAAAATTATACACAAGCGTCTGATACATTAAGAATAGCAGGGTAGCCTGGGAGTGGTGGCTCACACCTGTAATCCTAGCACTCTGGGAGGCACAAGAGCAGATGCCTGAGGTCAGGAGAGTCTGAGACCAGCCTGACCAGCACGGTGAAACTCTGTCTCTACTAAAAGAAAATACAAATTAGCTGGTGTGGTGGTGGGGTGCCTGTAATGCTTGGCTACTTGGTAGGCTGAGGCAGGAGATTGCTTGAACACCACCTGGGAGAGGAGGTTGCAGTGAGTGGAGATCGTGTCACTGTACTCCAGCCTGAAACTGATAGTCTCAAAAAAAAAAAAAAGAAAAGAAATAAAGAATAACGGAGAAAAACTTAATTTCTAATTTTTGGGGGATTACTTATTTTCCAGTGCTATGCAACTTTAGTTTTCTTTTACCTGCAGAGATCCTGGCTGTTCATCTGTCCAGTTGAGTATAGTGTGCAGAAATCTCTCCCCATTCCTTTTAGTATTTTCATCAATGTTTTCCATAGAGGATTGCACACAGATCTACAAAATCACAGAGGATCTAATTATAAAAACAAACAAGCAAACAAAAAAACAACTCTGCACAGAGTATTATGTACCTTCTTTTGTTTTTTTTTTGAGGCAGGGTCTCACTCTGTTCTGCCCAGGCTGGAGTGCAGTGATGCGATCTCAGCTCACTGTAACCTCTGCCTCCCAGGTTTAGCGGTCTCCCCGTCTCAACCTCCCAAGTAGCTGGGATTACAGGCGCGCGCCACCACCTGGCTAATTTTGCCTTGGTTTAGTAGAGATCGAGTTTCACCATGTTGCCCAGGCTGGTCAGATCTCTCCTGACCTTGTGATCCACCCACCTCAGCCTCCCAAAATGCTGGGTAATAGGTGAAGCCCTGTGCCCAGCCAACATGCAGCCCTACTTTCAAGAATTGGTTTTAGCAGCCCAAGATTTGTATTCTCAGTTGAGAATCTACATATGTAAACAAGGCTTTATGATTAACATATTTTAGCACATATAAAATTACAACAATAAAGAAATACAGTTGTATACCCCACGTGTGTAACTTTTATATACTTTACTAAGTTTGACCATACTATAACTACCTTATGTAAGGTGGATCATGCAGTATTTTGTCTTTTTGTGATTGACTAACTTCACTTAACATAATGTACTAAAAGGAGTTCATCCCTTGTAGCAAATGGCAGGATTTCCTTCTTTATGAGGCTGAATAATAATATTCCATCTCATATCTATATCTATGCTTGTGTATCTATGTATATACACACACACACACAAATACACACACAGTATTTCTTTCTCTATCAATGGACACTTAGGGTGTTTCCACGCATCATAGTTGTACAGGAATAATGCTGCAGTGAACATGACATTACAAATATTCCCTTTGAGATGCTGTTTTAATTCTTTTGGATGTACCCAAGTGGTATTGCTGAGTCACATATGGTGTTCTATTTTTAATTTTTGAACCTCACGTGCTGTTTTCCATAGTGGCTGCACCGCTTTGATTCTACTAACGGTGTATAGGGTTCCTGTTTCTCATCCTTACCTTTACACCTGCTATTTTAGGTTTGGGGGTGATGAGTGGGGAAATTATTATGCTTTGATATGCTAAATACTATCTCATTGTGATTTTGATTTTACAACTCCTGATACAGTGATATCAGATCTTTTCATATACTTTGGCCAGTTGCATGTGTATTCTTTGGAGAAATATCTACTCAATCCTTTATACATTTTTAAATTAGGTTATTTATTTGTTCTTGAGTTTTAGAGTTCTTTACATATTCTGTGAGTATGAACCTTATCTAATATATAGTTTACAATTACTTTTTCCCACATTCTATAGAGCTGTTTTACTCTGTTGATTGACTCTTTGCTATGTTAAAGCTTTCAGGTTTGAGAGCTGGGCATGGTGGCTCACACCCTATATTCCCAGCACTTGAGAGGCAAGGTGGGCAGATCACTTGAGGCAGGGTTGGAGACCAGCCACAGCCAGCCTTGAGTGAAACCCTGTCTCTACTAAAAATACAAAAACTGGCCAGGCCTGGTGACTGCGCCTGTTGTAATCCCAGCACTTTGGGAGGCCAGGTGGTGGATTACTTGAAGATGCAGCAGTTCAGACCAGCCACAGCCAACAGCAGAGTAAAAACTCCCATCTCTACTAGAAACACAAAAATTAGCCGGAGCATAGTGGTGCATACCTGTCATCCCTTCTTAGGAGGCTGAGACAGAGAATCAATTGAACCTGGTGGAGGTTGCAGTGAGCTGAGATCGAGCCATTTGCACTCAGCTTGTAGGCAATAAGAGCGAAACTCTGTCATTTTGGGCATGGTGACATGCCTATAGTCCCAGCCGGGCGAGGCAGGAGGATCATGAGGTCAGGAGATTGAACATCCTGGTCAAGACGGTGAAACCCCATCTCTGCAAAATACAAATTAGCTGGGCGTGGTGGCCGAGGCGCCTATAGTCCCAGCTACTTGGAAACAAAGAGGCAGGAGAACTGCTTGAACCTGGGAGGCAGAGTTTTGATGAGCCGAGATCACATCATTGCATTCCAGCCTGTTGACAGAGACAGAGACTACGTCTCAAAACCAAACAAACAATGTACAATGGCTAGAAGTTTTATTTTATTTTGTTTTGTAAGATGAGGTCTTGCTGTGTTGCCGGAGCCTAGTCTCAAACTCCTGAGCTCAAGCAAAGCACACCCTGTTCTCTCAAAATCCTGGGATTACAGATATGTGCCATTGCACCTGGCCTCTAATATAGATATCACCTTGGCCAAGCCTTCAGTCCTAAACACAGATGTCTTTTTTTTTTTTTTTTTTTTGAGATGAGGTCTCGCTCTGTTGCCCAGGTTAGAGTGCAATGGTGTGATCATGGCTGAGCTCAAGTGAGCTCTCCCCATCTCAGCCTCCCAAGTAGCTGGAGATGCACATATCACCATGACTAATTTTTAAATTTTTTTCTCTGTAGAGACAGGGTCCATCATGTTGCTCAGGCTGGTCTTAAGCTCCTGAGCTCAGCAGTCACCTCTTGCCTCAGCCTCCCAAAGTGCTGCAATTACAGGCATGAGCCACAGCACCCAGTGTTGCCATTTTGTGTCTAGACCTTTTTCTTTTTGATCTGCTTCCCTTCTTTCGCAATGACATATTTGTATAGTTGCTTTGTCCACTTTGCTTTTCAACTTACTCATGTTTGAACAGTAGTTCAATCAGATCTATTACTCAAATGATATGGAAGATGGAGTCAGGACAGTCTTCTACCTTACCCGTGATTTGCTTACCTCTTCTGAGCTTTATTTTACAAAGGCTGGAAGAGATTGTTCCGTCTACTTTCTTGTATCCTGAGCGTTTGAGGCGTGAGAGTAGCTGTATTCAGCTTTTCTTGGAGAACTAGGGTTTTGCTTTTGTCTTCTGAGATTTGGTTGTCCTCATTCCAGGGTTCACCATTTCTAGTCAGAGGACGTCTAGTTATATGAGAGGATCTCTCCCCCTTATCATCATGGAATGTTTAAAATGGCAGCCCTTGTGATTGTTTATATTTCTGCTGGGATCCTGGTGGTAGTACACTTATAAACCTTTTCACTTAGGGGAGATTTGTACCCAAACACATGTCATGCCCTGCTCCCTCATTTGTTTCTCTCCAAATCTGAAGTATTGATGAGATTCTCAGATCATCACTATACCCTCTTTCTCAACTTGCTGCTTGGAGATGAGGATGCCAGAATCATCAATTTTCTTTTGAAAATCACTTTTAAATTTATGTCATGAAATCATCTCTCTCTCCTCATTTTGGTTGCCACAGTAAATATTTTACTGGTTTTTACTATTCTCTTATTTTATTAGGTACTAGGAAAGAAGGTTCTCTGATCTGGCTTCAGTTCTACCATCTTTACAGAATCATGCTTCCTCTACAAAAGAAAAGGCGGCGCAGTGAAATCAAACCTGTAATCCCAGCTTGCTGGGAGGCTGAGATGGGCGGATCACGAGGTCAGGAGACTCGAGACCATCCTGCTTTAACAGGGTGAAACCCCGTCTCTACTAAAAATAAAAAAAAAAACAGCGAGTAGAAGATCATGGCATGTAAGTCCCAGCTACTCAGAGACTGAGGCAGGAGGTGGCGTAAGCCAGGAGGTGGAGCTTGCAGTGAGCGAGATCCGGCCCTGCCTGCACTCCAGCCTGGGCGACAAACGAGACTCATCTCAAAAAAAAAAAGAAAACCTGTATAAAATTCCATTTATGGGCTGAGCCACGGTGGCTCATGCCTATAATCCCAGCACTTTGGGAGGCCCAGAGGAGAGCCTTCCAGATCACCTGAGGTCGGGGTTCAAGACCAGCCTGAGCCAGCGTGGAGAATCCATCTCTACTAAGGTACAAAATTAGCCGGGCATGGTGGCGCATGCCTGTAATCCCAGCTATTCAGGAGGCTGAGGCAGAAGAATCACTTGAACCCCAGAGGCAGAGGTTGCAGTGAGCCGAGATTGTGCCATTGCACTCCAGCCTGGGCAACAGAGCAAAACTCTGTCTCAAAAATAAATAAATAAATAATTTCTCATTTTTATGGCTGTACCACTAATATGCGTTAGTCCCCTATCTAATGGACATTTAGAATCTAATGGACATTTAGAATGTCCTCATTAAAATTAATGTATGCCCTTATACAGGTGATCTTTAAGAAGCAAACAACAAAAATAAATTAAAAATAAAGTCAATGTAAAATCAAAACATGCATAACCTAGAATTAGTTAAAAGGTGAAATATCAGTGCTAAATAATCTTTAAGGTACACTTATCTCTAAAAGTCTATATCATGAAATAACATTATATGGTATTTTAAGAACAAGGTTGGCCTGTATGGTGGCTCATGCCTGTAATCCCAGCACTTTGGGAGGCCAAGGCAGTTGGATCACTTGAGCTCAGAAGTTCAAGATCAGCCCTAAACAACATGGCAAAAACCCTGTCTCTGCAAAAATATAAAAATTGAGCATGGTGGCTTGCACACTATAGTTCTAGCTACTTGGGGGGACTGAGGTGGGAGGAGGTTGCTTCAGCCAGGAGGTGGAGGCTGCAGTAAACATGATTGCGGCACTGCACTCCAGCCTGGGAGGCAGCAGAACCTGTTTCAAAAAAAAAAAAAAAAGGGGCGATAAAGGTCTCCTATCTTCGCCAGCTGAATTAAATCATTACTAACTATTTGTGGCAAGCTTCCCAAGTAGCTGGGACTACAGGTGTGTGCCACACTGTACCCTGGCTTTATTTATACATATGGTACAACAAGTACACTTTAATGTAGTTTTATAGTCAACTATTTTGTAGTTGAAATGGTGTAAGTAAAACTTGCCAGATGAACATCCACTATCTTGAGAATTCTGAATATACTAAAAATAGAATGGAATAAGAAATCTAATTTTAAAAAGACATTTGAAAAAATAACAGTATTATACATACTCAAAAATATTTGTAAGTTGGTCACTTGGTACATTTTCAGACCAACCACAATACTCTATGGCACCGGCTGACACCTTTGGGTGGCTGATGCAACGGGAGTAATGACTGCTGCTTTTTCTGCGTAAATATCTGCGTCCTGTCAGAGGGGTAGAAGGTGCAAATGACCTTTTCTGTCAGAAAAGAAAAATCTGTGAAGTTTTTAAAAATTACCATCTTCTTAATATATGTTTAATTCAGTGTACATTCTGTCTTCTCTACCTCATATTGAAATATCCATGGAAATGTTTAAGGAGATACTATGCTAATAACATCCTTATATTTGAAAAACACTTTTTTAAAACTTACTTTCTACCTGTAATTTCATTTAATCCCTTCACTACTGATTTGAAAGATAATGTATACATACTTTAATTTTATATATGAGAAACAGACAGAGAAATTTAAAAGCATTTCAGTTGACTAAGTTAATGTCAAGCTTGGACTAAAACAGGTTTTTGCTATATTTCTATAGACAAATTATAGATTTTCCATTAGATCTCTTTACACTCCAACCCATTTTTATAGAAAATACAGGTTAAGCCTTGGCCATTAACAATCAAGTCTTGAAGTTTTATGGCTGAAGTTACAGAAAAACACAGTTTGTATCATGGGTAGGAAAGCAAGCGACTAAGGAATTTAGAAAGCAACGTAACAGGCTAGAGTTGAGCAAGAAGAACAGTGAAGGAAGAAAGCTTTATCTTCAAAGCACTTGAGACATATATACTAGTAAACCCGATAACACCAGGAAGTAGATTATGAAATGTAGAAAATAGTAAAAAATAAGGTAAAAATACTAAATGCCAGTTTTAAAATTACCTTTAAAGCTTTCTTTGGAAATATGAATTAGTAGAAGAAACTCAGATTTAGCAGAAGATGCTTCTGCTGATGGTAAAGATCAGACACTGAAAAAGATCATTCAAGATTGAAGGCCAGGCTAGGTTATATTACTTTTTCAAGGTATTTATTTGAAATTATACTCCATATTAGCCATAATAAGATCAGTTTCTAATGCAGAGGTGTCACTACCCGATGAACTTTGAGGTGTTCCAATTTCCTCTTCCTCGTCTGCCCCCAAAGATCTCATCAAAATCCTGTAGTTAGAACATACTCTTCATTACTCATATTCCTGCTTTGCTGCAAAGAAAATTATTATAAGCTGTAATACTAAGTTACAATGGATTGTACGGCAGAGGAATAGAGATTTTAGTGTTTAACAGAAAATCCTAGTAACTTTAATTTTATTAACTCTGCCCATCTAACAATATCAGAGGGTCCTACCTGATTATGGACATTCTTCACATTCATACAACCAATAAGTACTTTGAAAAGTGAGGCTACATATGCAATCTGAAAACTAGTTGAATCTAATTATGAGAAATGGTTTCTGATCACTAGAAACAATAGTGGCTTTTGAAATATGTGGTTGGAGGTTGCATTGACTAAGATTGCGCCACTGCCCTCAACCTGGCAACAGAGCAAGACTCCGTCTCAAAACACGAGGGCTGGGCGTGGTGGCTCACGCATAATCCCAGCTAACATTTTTGGGAAACCGAGGTGGGCAGATCTGTGAGGTCAGGAGGTGGGAACCACATCTGGCTAACATGGTGAAAGTCATCTCTACTAAAAATACAAAAAATTAGCCAGGTGTGGTGGCAGGCGCCTGTTGTCCCAGCTACTCAGGAGGGTGAGGTGAAGAATGGCTGAACCTGGGAGGTGGAGCTTACCCAGTGTAGAGCCAGAGATCGCGTCACTGCATCCAACCTGGAAACGGCAGAAGCGAATTCCGTCAGAAAAAAAAATATATATAGGTACTGCCAACGTGTGATTAGTGAAGAATGTAAGTGAAATGCAAGTCATTGAGTCCATTTGTGTTCTCAGAGAGAACAGCTGTTTTTGTTTGTTTGTTTATTTCAAGGCAGAATCTCCTCTACCCACCCAGGCTAGATGCAGTAGTGCGATCTTCGGCTCCTGCAGCCTCTACCTCTTGGGATTTAAGCAATTCTCCTGCCTTAGCCTCCTGAGTAGCTGGGACTGCAGGCTTTGCCACCATGCCCGGCTAGTTTTTGTGCTTCTAGTAGAGATGGGGTTTCCACATTGCTTGGGATAGTCTCGATCTCTCCCCCTGACCTTGTGATCTGCCACCTCAGTCTCTCCCAAAGTGCTGGATTACAGGTGCAGCAGACCGCACGCGGCACGGAAATCAGCTGTTTTAAATCACCAATTGGCTGGGTGTGGTGAGTCATGCCTGTAATCCTAGCAGCACAGGGAGGCTATGGTGGAAAAGTTAGCAGAATCAGAGTGAGGCCAGCCTGGCAGCAGTGTGTCCCCATCTCTAAAAAAAAATAAAATAGGCTGGGCGGGGGTAAACAAAGCCTGTAATCCCCAGCACTTTGGGAGGCCGAGGCAGAGGCGGATCATGCAGTCAGAGGAGTCAAAGAACTATCCTGGCTGGCAGTGAAACCCCGTCTCTGCAAAAAATACAACAATCTGCTTGGGCGAGGTGGCGACGCCTGTGATCTACAGCTGCTCACAAAGTCTTACAGAGGCAGGAGAATGGCGTGAACCCGGGAGGCGGGCTTGCAGTAGGCTGAGATCAGCCACTGCACTCCCAGCCTGGGTGACAGAGCGAACTCTACGCCTCAAAATAAATAAAATAAATGAAAATAAAAAAATAAAAATAAATCGTGAGGTGTCAGTAGTTTTTTTTTTTTTTGGAGATAGAATCACTCCTGTCACCTAGGCTGGGAGTGCAGTGGGTGTGATCTCAGCTCACCACGCCTCTGCCTCTTGGATTCAAGTGATTCTCCTGCCTCAGTCTCCCAAGCAGCTGGGATTGCTGGTGCTGCCACCACACCCAAAGATAATTTTTTGTATTTTTAGTAGAGATGGGGTTTGCAGCCTTGTGGCTGATCTCAGCTGCAGCCTCAGGTGGTCAGCCCACCCGGCTCTCCCAGTGGGGATTGGCGTGAGCCACATCTCCGCCTCTTCTTTTTCTTGGTTTATTTTTGAAACATGGTCTGGCTCTGGTGCAGGCTACAAGTGCAGTGGTGATATAGCTCACTGCAACCTCAGCCTCCCAGATTAAATGAGTCTTCCACCTCCAGCCTCTCCCCCAGTAGCTGGGACTGCAGGCTCGCCCCCACTCGTCCAGCTGTTTGTATTTCCAAGTAGAACAAATTCCACCATGTTCCCCAGGCAGTCTCAGCAGCCTGGAAGCTCAAGCAATCTGCTGCCTTGGCCCAATGCTGGGATTACAGGTGCTCCAAACCACCTGTACATATGAATTTTATTTTTATTTTGTACTGTTTGGGGCTGGTCTGCACTCTACCCAGTGCCCCAGGCTGGAGTGCAGGTGGTGCAATCTCAGCTCCGCCACCTGGCCTCACCTCTGCCAGTTGGCGTCCACCTACCTCAGCTCCCCAGAAAATGGCTGGGACTGAGCATATGTGCCACCTGTGCCAGCTAATTTCTATTTTTAGGCATTACAGACCGGGTTTCACCATTTGGCCAAGATGATGTAATCTCCCAATCGTGATTTGCCTGCCTCGGCCCTCCCCCAAAATTAACTGGGATTTCAGAAGCCATGAGCCACTCTTGCCTGGCAGGTAGCTGTTTAAATGTCAATTCACTGGCTGTGGTGGAGGTCATGCACCATAATCCTAGCACTTTGGGAGCTATGGTGAGAGGATTGCCAGGGCTGGAAATTAGAGATCAGCCTGAGCAACACAGTGAATCCTGTCTCACAAAAAAATAAAAATAAAAATAAATACACATGAAATTATCAATATTTTTTTTCCTGAGATGGGAATCTCGCTCTGTTGCCTAGGCCAGAGTGCAGTGGCATGATCTTGACTCACTGCAACCTGTGCCTCCTGGGTTCAAGCAATTCTCCTGCCTCAGCCTCCCAAGTAGCTGGAATTACAGGTTACCTGCCACCACTACTCAGTTAATTTTTTGTGTTTTTAAGTAAGGTAGGGTTTCTGCTGTTGGCCAGAGCTGATCTCAAACTCCTGACCTCAGTAGTAGGCCACTTTGCCAGCCTCTCTCGAAGTGTTGGGATTATAAGTAGCTCACCGCTGCCCAACCTCTTTCTTTTTCCTTTTTTTTTGGAAATAGGAGTCTCACTCTATGCTGGACGGGTGCAGTGGTGCAATCGGCTCATTGCAACCTCAACCTCCCAGATTCAAGCAGTCCTCCACTTTCAAGCCTCCCAAGTATGGCACAGGACTACACAGGCTCACCGCCTACGTCCGGCTGAGATTACTGGTTTTTGTAGAGACAGGGTTTCACCCCACCCATGTACTGATTGGTCTCAACTTTTCCACGACTCAAGCAATCTGCCTGCCTTAACCTTCAAAGTGCTGGAATTACAGGTGTAGGCCTGTGCCCAGCCTTGGTTTCTTAAAAAATAAATGTATTTAAAGCCAGCAAGTGTAGTGACAATGCCATTCCCAATGCCACTAAAGGGAGAGAACTTCAATTTAGGGTGCTTGCTGATATAATGTGTAAGCAGCAAATTTCTTAGGTATAAATATGACAGCTTGTGATGAGGCTACTGGTAGATATTTATATAGCCTCAGTAAAACTTGAAAGGTCAGAAGGCATTCTCCTTGCATAATATCTGTGAAAAAAAAAATATTTAGGACTTCATATAATTAAAGCATATTAATACACACCACAAACATGAAATTTATCTAAATTTCCAGCAATAAATATAACACACACACAAAGAGATAATTGAATATTTCAACAGACTAGGATACGCTATTTGTATGCAAATAACATTAAAAGAATTGAGACAGAGGTTTTGGTTCCTGTCACGGAGTATACAGTTGCCAGTGGCTTCATCATGGCTCACTGCAGCCTCAGCCTCTTGCCAAGTAGCTAGGACTACAAGCGTACCACTCTACTGTTGCCCTTCAGTGACATGAGCCACGAGGTTGCCATGTTGCCCAGGCTCGATCTGGAACTCTTAGGCTCAAGCAATCCACACCTGCCTTGGCCTCCCAGTGTGTGGCATTACAGTGTGAGCCACCTGCCCAGTCCTGGGATCTTTAAAGTTTGCTTTGCTGAGATGTTTAGCAGCAACCACAGACAATGGGCCATAATATAGATATCTGAGGAACCTGAG